CACTGCCTTTCAGCCTCACTTACCTTCTTTTAGTTCTAGGGACATTACCCATTTATTCTCACCCTAGACCCACTGCTCAGAATGCTCTTTCCCCTAATTTCTAAATGGCTTGTTCCTCAGATCTCACTTTAAATGTTATCTGCTCAGAAAAGCCTCCCCTGAATACTTGGTATAAGGCATTCACATAATAACTCTCACATCGCTCTTTTTACAATTATGGCATAGCACTTAGTACATTCTGATACTTTGCTTATTAATTTATTTTTGTTTTTCTCTGCCACCACTAGAATATAAACTCCAAGTCTCAGTGTATAGGAAAGTGCCTGGCACACAGTAGGTGTATAATAAATATTTGTTGAATAAATGAAGTCTTAATACCTACATACTGGTTACCTCAACTGAGAGTCCAATTCTTTGGTGTAACCTCTTCTGCTGATCTTGACACCCATTCTCAGATCCATCCATATATGTTTTTCATATTAGTATGAGATTCTAGTTTTCACCTAACTTTTTAAAAAGTTCAGTTTTAAAAAGGAAGGGAGGAAGTGGGGGAGGGGAAGAAAGAGAAAGAAAAACACTAGAACCAGTCAGTATGCTGTTATTTATGTATGGCTTCACAAATTTTTATATTAGATAACCAAACTATGACGTACCTACTAGGGGTTCTACAAAACAATAGCCAATTAATTAAAATATTTGACACTAGGTAATGCTTTTATTTACATGTTATTTTTTAGTTAATAGGCCTTATCATTTAATACCAGTCAGAGAATAGTAATTTACTTAAAATTTAGTTTGTGTATTTGCTTTATAAGACTGATAATATTTTGCTGTACATATATATACCTTTCTATGCATGTATGCCCATGTGATCACACAAGCACATGATCATAACATCTTTCTTTTGAAACATTGTGTTTTCACTTACATTGTAAATACCTTTACGTGTCAGAAGTAGATCTATATCATTATTTTAGGTATAACTGTACCACAATGTATTTAGCCACTCCCATATTGTTGTACATTTAGGTTTATTCCAATTTTTTTAATCGGTATAAACATTTTAATAAATATCCTTGAACATTTCAGCTTGGTGTGCTCGTTCTATTATTTCCTTGAGAGAAATTCATAGGAGAATTTTTATTCCTATTCTAGATTATCCTCCAAAAGGACATTATTTTTAGAGAAACCTTCTTACTAGCAATTCCCCAGGTCACTGTCATGCTTACCTTGCCTTTTTATTCCATGTCATGAAGGGCGTGGGATCTTTTACTACGTCGGCAGGCTTTAGAAGTAAACTGAACAGCAGCCCAGTGATGGGTAAGACATTCTTATTCCATTCCCTTTAGACAGAGCTTTGAAGTAACTCTGCATTCTCCTGGGTTTTGTTCTAAATCAGTAAGTGTGTTGGTTTAGAGGGGCTCCTGGTTAGGACCTCCCAAGAGGGAGGTTAGTGGTTCTGGCCTCTGCCTCTGGGTTTTTTCTGAGCTACTGCTGAAGAGCAGAGAGTCATAGACTCTCAGAGTTGAAAGAACCCTTGCAAGTCTAATCCAGCCACCACTGGATGTCTAAATCCCTTCAAGGACACCCCTGGCAAGTGTTTATCAGTCTGTCCTTGAACATCCCTGATGATGATGAATTTGCTTCCCAAGTTAGTCCATTTCATCTGTGGATCACTCTGATTTGTTCAAAGCTTTCCCAATGACCAAATTGTTCACCTCTTTTGTTGGACAGAATAGATGGGGAACTTTTAAGAAAATGGCTAAACTCCCGAGGCAGGAGAGCTGCCATTAAAGAAGCAGCCAGTCCAGTTGTGACTGCCAGTCAGACTGTGGTGTTAGCACAATCCTCATTGAGGGCTTGAGGGTGCAAGGGAGTCTAGAACTATGTTTTGATCGATTAATTCCTAATCTCCAATGATCTGTCCTTCATAGCCTGTGAAAATCTGTAACATCCTTTCTGTTTTATTCAGTGTTATGTTTTACATCAAATAATTTCTCTTCTAAAACCTGTAACTAGTCGGTAAGCCTAGCAGTTCACATTTGTCTAGATTTGAAACACTTTTTGTTTTTGGAAAGGTAAATTATCTTTAGAGGCCCAAAAATCATAACTTATTTCTGGAGTAAGCTGTGTATCAAAATATCAAGTTATATCTCTTGAATTTTCTTTAGCATGACGTGATAGTTCCTAGTTACTATTCATACATATTCTTTACGACAGTAAACTCTGCTCTTTGGTGTTTTGGACGGTGACATTATCAAAATTTTAACTGTAGCTTTTCAAATGACTACTGGGATTTAGTATTCTCATTTATTAAAATTCAGATCACCCATAAATTTTTCCTGACAAATTCCTAAAGGTTGTCATCACATAGTCACAAGCACTTAGATAGTTTTTATGTGTTTCATAATACCCTTGTATAATTCACACTAATCCTTGCAATGCTTATGTAATAGTTACATAGATAACTATCATCATCTTTAATTTTTGTTTCAGATTTTTCATATAAATAGTCACTATTCTGGCTAAATTCAATAAGTCATCCAAGGGATTGCAGATTATGGTTTTGGAATTCTTTGTTAATTTACTACCTGAAGAGATAATGACCAAAGCACCCAAATTTTAGTCAAATGTTATATTATTCAAAAGTGTTTTTTCATAACAGTTCAGTTTTTATCGCATTGGACTTTATGATTCCTAGTGCGTGAGTAAACCATTCCCTACTAGGGCTTTGGAGATGAATTATAGTTTTTCAGACATAAGGATAACAAGTCATGGAGTCCTGGGAGCCCACAAGAAAAACACTCTAAAAAACACACTCCTACCTCCTCATGCCCTTCCCCCTTTCCTAATCTGATCTGGTAGTTTTCTCTCAGCAGTGGAAATACTATAAATCTTTTTTTAAAGTAGAAATACATAAATATGAGACATTACTTAGGCTGTGGGCCATCCTTGGTAGCTGACATCTTGGCATCCCTCTGCATTCTATAGATGAGGAGGCATGCTCTGCCACAATTCTTAGCTCTCTAAGATTACCTCACAAACTGAGGGAGGAAACCAGATGAGCTCAGAGAAATATCCTGGGAGCTAAAATTATTCCAACAGCCCATGGCAAGCCTGAGCTAGCCTTGAAAACCTGCAGAGCCACCAGAGAAAGACTGAATGGAATCCTTTTTACATCTTTTGCTTGCTTCCGAAGGACACCATGATTGAACTCAGTGAGTCCCAGGAGACCCTTGATTTATGACCTCATTGGTTCCTAGAGAAACATTAGTTGAAAGTTGAGACTTCTCTCTTTTTTCCAGTTGGCACATTATTATAAATTAGGGTCCGATTCCTGGAAATTAATTCTATACCATCAATATTCCAAAATACATTATTAAAATATATGTTAAATATATGTTCTTTTCATTTACATTTTTATGAACATAAAGTATGTAAAAGCAAAATTTATAGCCACGATGAAAGAAAGCACATATGGGGTGGTTAAGAACCCAGATTCTGGAGCCAGACTCTGTAGGTTCAAATTCCAACTTTGCTACTTAGCTGGGCGATGTTGCCCAGGTTACTTAACCTTCTCTGTGCTTCAGTTATCTATAAAATGGTGGTAATAGTCCCCATCTTCAAGAGCTGTTCTGAAGATTGAATGTGTTAATGTACAGAAAGTACTTAAAACTGGCAATGGCCTTGACAGTGTTACTAAGGAGTGTTGGCTCTTATGTGTTACAAATGGTCATTTTAGGGAAACTTTTCTGAATGGCCTTAAAATACCAGCTCAATAAAATTGACTTTCAAGGCTCCTTCTTTTCCAGACAAGCCTTCTTGAGGCTAGAAATAGGTATTCTTTATCATGTCTTTCAAGGCTGTTCACAGTCTAGCCCCAGTCCTGCCTTTTCCACATTTTCTCTATAGAAATTGTCCATTCAAGTTGCATGTTCTCTGTCGTGGTTCTACTCAACACCTACCTCTTTTGCAAAATTTTACCTTAGTATTTGTTAGATGCTGTAATCTTCTGTTTGTTTTTACTATCATCTCTGAATCATAAACCCTTTGAGACTAGGAGGTATGTGCAGTGTAACACTGTGTCCCCCTATGACCTAATACAGTGTAGTAGGGACTTAAAATATGTGTTGATTAGTCGAACTGCACGGCAGACTGAATTTTGTTCGTGTGCATGTGTGTGTACATATGTGTGCAGGTTCAACCTGTGTAGCAGGTTGACAATTTTGAAGATTAAAACTGTGTTTAAAAACATTAGAGCACTTGTGAGAAATTTTAAAATTATTACAAATAAGTGAATATGGCTGCAGGTTTGATTGTTTGGAACTGTGTAGTGACCAAAAAATATCACACTTTCATATACTGCGATTTGGGGTGCATCTCCTGCAGGGTAACTACAGCGTGTCTCCCTCTGAAGCTCCTGTTACTGTATAGGAAAGCAGAGAAGGGCCCCGTGCGTCACCGAATTAAGGCTGTAAGAACAAGGAACAGGTTAAGGAAGGGAGAAGGGAGAAAAGGGGAGAAGCATGCATTTGGATGTTTATCTTTTTAAAAATATATGACATGAAACATTTTAACCTTTGGCTGTTGGTGAAGTTTTGTGTGCGAAAACTGTTGTACTTGACATCCAAGAACATAATTATCTGTAGGATTAAAAAGATATCCATAAAGCTTAGGTATTTTAACTGAAGTTTACATAAAAATGATTTCATGCCATAATTTTAACCAGCCTTGTCTTAACTGGAATGTTGAATTATCCACCGGCTCCTGACTATGTGTCTTGTGAATCAAGAGTTTACTATATTTCAATAGCCTCATTTTTATTCTCTTTTCACTCTTTATTAATGAATATACTTGAATATGAAATGTTTGTGTTTTCTTTTTAAAAATTTTTGTTGAATATGGAATGTGACAGTAGCTATTTGAGGCATAAAAGATGAGTTCTGATGAAGAGAACATTAAAGTGAGGGCTCTTCTTTTGTTTTTTTTTTTAATACCAGATACTCTAGATGAATATTTTGAATACGATGCAGAGGAGTTCCTGGTCTCTTTGGCCTTGTTAATAACAGAAGGACGAACCCCTGAATGTTCTGTAAAAGGTCGCTCCGAAAGTTTCCATTGCCCTCCAGCACAGTCCTGTTACCCAGTAACCACCAAACATGAGTGTAGCGACAAGCTGGCCCAGGTAAAAACTGTGTGTTGAATGCTTTTTATTTTTATTGTTTATGTAACCTATATAAACTTTATAAATTCTGTCATCATTTTGTTATAGCATCATTATAATGTTCACATTTAAATATAAAATTGGTCACAACCATAAAGAAAAAAAATCCTAATCCTGGACCATAGCCAATAACCGTGACTTTTAGACAAGGCTCTTGAAGGCACAGTAGGTAACTTTGCTGATCAGCAGGCAGGTGGGCAGCCAATTTCCTATCTGCCTTTTCACGCACCAGATTTAAGATTCTGTTTGCTACTGTGATTCACCTTTCTTTAGAGTATCAGCCCTAGCTGATGGACTTTATATTCTTGTGTATTTAGTAGATTGATGTTAATGATTATTTCTCCACATTAACCAATTTTCCTTTTATGTGTCCCCCTTTTTTTTAATGGGAGGATACTTTTTACTATCACATTAATGTTTTTGTATAATACTGTTAAAAATATTTATTTTGGTAAGTAGTGTATTATTTGCTATAAGGATTTTCCTCCCAGTTAGTTTCTTAAATGTATTCCAAAATTTTAAACTTTTACAATCTTGTATATTTTGAGCATTTAATGAAAATGAGTTTTTAATATTTTCATCTTCACTTAGAATGAATCTTTCCTCTGTAAGGCTGATGTAATTAACAAACTAGGCAAGGCTGGGCCACCTCGAGGCCTGTCAGCCATTGTGTATGGCAGCTGTTTTCCTACATGATGGAGCAAAGATAGTCCCCCCCCCAAGAAAATTTGCATCATAAATGTTGCTCAGTACTGATCCTTGTACTCCAGAACTCACTAGTGTTAATTCATTATTTAATGCGTAAACCTAAATAGACAAGCCTGAACAAGTTCTACAATTGATGCCTCATTTCTCATACAGATGTAAACTTTACAATTATAATTTTCAAATTTAATGTAAAACTGTGTGTGTGTGTCTGAGACATTTTGCTTATATTCATTTTCTCTAAGTGTCGCCAAGCCAGACGAACCAGGTCTGAGGTTGCGTTGTTGTGGAAGAACAACCTTCCAATCATGGTGGAAGTGATGCTACTGCCAGACTGCTGCTATAGCGATGATGGGCCCACCACAGAAGGAATTGATCTGAATGACCCTGCAATTAAGCAAGATGCATTATTGTTAGAAAGATGGATATTGGAACCAGTTCCTCGACAGTAAGTTGTAGAACTGAGTTTGAAGTTATTCTTGGTAAATCAGATTTTCCCACTACTTTCAATAAATTATGTTAATAATATATGCTGTCTTTGAATCACTCTATGTAGTAAAATTTAGATATTTGGTACTTATGTGACTTCAAGTGACACTGGTAAATCCACTCCTATGCTCTTAAAAGCATGCTTCCTGAGTAATATGTTTATTGTAGCTTCTGTTTTTTTAAAATTCAGTCATTTTGTACTTGCTGACATTTAGATGATGCTTTTTTTTACTTCCCTTAGGAGTGGCGATCGATTTATTGAAGAGAAGACTCTTCTATTGGCTGTCCGCTCTTTTGTGTTTTTTTCTCAATTAAGTGCTTGGCTGAGTGTTTCTCATGGTGCTATTCCACGAAATATTCTTTACAGGTATGTATAGGCAAAAAAAAGATACAGTGTGTATTCAGCTACGTTGGTTAGCTGTTCAGAAGTTGAACTATCATTCAGTTATTTTCTTCATTTCTGAATAAGTGGATAAAATTTACAAATGGTCTTCTCAAAACAAGTTAGAGAAATGTAGATGTGAATCAGTATGAATTTTGTTTTTTGGGTTAAATTTGGTTTAGAATAGTTTTCAGAGAACTTTTAAGCTTACTTTAGAAAACTAACAATGGACTTAGTGCTGCCATTATAAGTAAAATAGAAGAACTTTCTGGGCTGCTGAATTTCCATAATGGTAGACTTGCTTAATTTTTGGTATTTTGAAAACTTATAAACATGCAGGCTGCTGAACAACTGTCTAATTGTCTCTTTAGGCAGGTGGCCATGAGATAGACAGTATCACTTAATCACCTTGCATAATAGAATTAGCTGAATCCATCTGTTTAGTGGTAAATGCAAAGTCCTTTCTTTCTGTTTTGACAAAGTTTTAAATTATAATATTCTTGAGCTTTAATGCTTAAGTGGTTTGGTGTTCTTTAAAAGAAGATCATCTCTATTCTAAGCATAATATACCACACCCCTTATGTTGGTTTTATCAGAATGACATTCATAGTAAAGTAGCTAAAAGTAAAATCTCAGTAGTAACGAATGCAAACAAAGACAGATAACTGTTTTAAAATTTTTAAATAATATACAGTCATGGTATATAGTTCATTAACCCATTGATTCCATATTTTTCTGTGTGATTCTAGAATCAGTGCTGCTGACGTAGACCTACAGTGGAATTTTTCACAGACTCCAATTGAACATGTATTTCCTGTTCCCAATGTGTCTCACAACGTGGCCTTGAAAGTCAGCGTTCAGTCCTTGCCCAGACAATCTAATTACCCAGTTTTGACCTGTAGTATTCACACGAATATTGGCCTTTATGAGAAAAGAATTCAAGAACACGAGCTTAAAGCCCATCAGCACCACACTTCTAATGAAGCAGAACAATGTAGTACAAACAGTTCACAGCGTCTGTGTAGCAAACAAACTTGGACCATGGCACCTGAGAGCGGATTCCATGCAAAAAATGGCACAACCTCAGAATATTCTGCAGCTGTCAAAAATGGCAAACTCTATCCCGGCACTGGCAAGAAACCTGACTGTGGAACATGTCAAGCCAATATTCTGGGCTTCCGTGGTCCAGGAAATAAAAAGTCACATGAAACATCAGTGAGAACTCTAAAATCATTTTCCATGATTGATTCTGGTGTCTCTAGCCACCAGAGTTCCTGGCAGTCAGCTGGTGAGACTAATCCTTTAATAGGCTCTTTAATTCAGGAGCGACAAGATGTTATTGCAAGGATTGCTCAGCATTTGATTCATTGTAATCCGAACAGTTCACATGTTTCTGGACATGCATTGAATATGCAAGAATCTAGTTCACTTAATTCAAAACTTTTCCGGGTTTCACAAGAAAATGAAAATGTGAGAAAAGGTAAAGAAACTTTCTCCATTTCTTTTGGGAGTCCCGAGTTTACCTCTTTAGAAGACACCAGTGATGGGAAAATTCAAGTAAAACTAGAAACTCTTCAAAGTGAAACTTGCCCTTCCAATGGTGTTTGTTCTCGTCAGTCTGTTGGTGAGACCAATCCTTTAATAGGCTCCTTACTCCAGGAGCGGCAAGATGTTATTGCAAGGATTGCTCAGCATTTGGAGCATATTGATCCAACGGCATCACATGTGCCCCGGCAATCATTCAATGTGCGTGACTCCAGTTCAGTTCCTTCTAAAGTATTTAGGAGTTCATATGAAGACAAAAATTTGTTGAAGAAAAACAAGAGTGATGCCTCTGTTTCCATTTCTAATACAAAATTTTCTTTGTTAGAAGATTTCAGTGAAGGGGAAAACTTAATACCTACTAAATCGTTTAGTTCTTTTAAATGCAATAGTAAAGTCAGGTCCTCTTTGAAACCTCCAATAAGAAAACATCTATATCAGGACAATCCTAGCGAAGTCATCCAGAGTACATTTCAAGGGTCAGAGGACAAAGCCACTAGTTTATTGCCTCCCTCAAATATGTCTCATTGCAAAGAAAATAACTTAGGTTTGACAATCAGATTGGAAAATACACTTTCTGAGTGTCAATGTAGGCAGCAAGAAATTGGCAATGGAATTGATAAACGGTGTTCAAATTGCGACAGTATTGACAAACAGATTTGCACAAAGAAGTATAAGGAAAAAATAATAAAAAATGAAAACTGTAATCCGGAATCTTTCAACAGTCACCAATTTGATAAACCAAAAAAAAATGACTCAAAAATAAAAGTTACTATGTTGGAAATGTCTGGATATTTGAACAAACTTGAAAAGAAGTGCTCAAAAAAAGACTCAATAAGACCTACAATATGTAAGCAAAATCTGCAACTTAATAGTATAGAAAATTATCTCAATAAAGATAATGAAGGCTTCAAATGCAAAAACCCAGATCAATTAAAAAATGAACAGGATAAGAAAGAAGATCCAACTGATGAAAAATCTCAAAATTGTTCCCCAAGAAAGAGTATGAAAGACTGCTTGTCTACGTGTGAACGACTGAAAAATACAGAGGTCTTGGTAGGTAATATCTAATATTTCAAATATAATTCTTAAACATCTGTTCTAATTTCAATTTTGTATAGAGGAGATCTAGTTCTAAAGGCCCACAGTGCCCATTATCTAGAGTACACACAGCCTTATATAATAAACCTGCCATGGAACTACAGTAGTAGTAACATCCTTGCAAATAACTCATCTACTTAAGAGCAAATGCTAGATAAATTCTTCCTGTTGGCCTATTTCCTTTATTTCAATCATATAAACAATTGCTGGAGACTAAATAGGAGTCAGAAATAAAACTCATTTTAACGTCATGTATTGTTTATTAGTCGCTCTGGCCGTGTGCCACACAATGGCAGCAGCGTGCTCATTGTTTTATGCCCCGGCTCAGCTAAGGATTTTAGTAATATCTATAGTGATATCACTAGGCTGTTGGTCACAATGCTGACTTCACCATTTGGTTCTTGGGTGACATGGAATAAGTCACATAATTTCTAAAAATCTTGGTCTCCTCAATTTTAAAATAAAAATGATAAATCTCTTTCCTATCTCAGTGTTTTAAAATATTTTGTAAACTGTTTAGTTCACTACATAAATAAAAGATACCTGAAGTTATTTCCATTTTATTTAACTTCCTACTAAACCTAAACCACTTTTTAACTTAGAGAATTATTAGGCTCAAATCTTCTTTATACCTCTAGGTAGTATCACAAATTTATATCTCAGATATATGGAGAACTACTTCTTAACTGCCTTGATTCAAATTTGAATGACCTTGGTGTATCTTCTTTATCACTCAGATTAGTTGTGCTGGACGTGAGAGTTTTTGTGCCTTGTTTCTAGTTTATATTTTTTAACAGAAAAATCTCATCTCTAACATACGGGTTTAATCAAGCAGTGGCTTTTAATTTCTGAAAACTATAATTGTGACAAAAACCTACCCTGGTCTTAAGAATGTCAGCTTTTCACCACCCTTTTTGGTACCTAATAGGGAGGCTTAGTTTGGCCATGGTACTTTCCAAGTTTTTTCAGTTTTTTTCATCCAGTTGTTATAAATGTAATAATACTTCACTTACTATGTGCCCAGGCACTCTTCTGAATATTTTATGCTTGTTGGTTTATTTAATCCTTCTACTACACTGTGAGGTGTTTAGGCTCTGTTATTAACTCCAGTTTTTACAAATGAGGACCCTGTGACTGGAGAGGTTAAGAAACTTGCCCACGGACACAAAGTTAGAAGTGGTAGAGCCAGAACCCAAATTAGTCTTTTCTGATTTTTATTCATGTGTTTTTTAACGAATTCCTGATCTTTGGGTATAAATTTGTCTCAACTCAAGAATTTGCCTATTTCCTGTGTCACTTCAAAAACATGGTACTGTGACTGCATTAGATATATTTTAAAATGCATGTTTTAAATTCATGTTATATTATTAGTATAATTCATGTTTATTATATATATTCATGCACCACCAAATTAAGTCCTCTGAGAATGCCTCTTGATGTTGACAGTTTTATATTTTAGAATATTATGCTAGTTTTTTCTACCTGTGAGTAGTTGTTTTTTCAACAAATTAAAAGAATCAAATATGTATTAGCTTACTAGATACAAGACTCAGAATATTTCTAAATATGATCATATGTCGATAAGGTAATTTGGACATACTTTCTTTAGAATATGAGTTTATTTAGCATCTTAGAAGAAAAGTCTTAGATACTGTTTTCTGATTACTCTGTGTGTGTGTGTGTGTGTGTGTGTGTGTGTGTGTGTGTGTGTGTAAAGAGAGAGAGAGAGATACAGATATAGATAAATAGATTATTAGCTTCATCACCAAGGATGTAATACCTCGGTATGTATTAGAAATAGTGTAAGACCAAAAAATATTACCATTAAAACCTAATTATTTTAGCAGAAGACTATACCACTGAAACAGTCAAGTGTCTGGCGGAAACATAATTTTCATTCCTTGGATGGAACCTCAACCAGAGCCTTTCATCCTCGAACTGGATTGCCTCTTCTTTCAAGTCCTGTAAGTATTTCTTTCTGATCTCATGTTTAGAACTTGACATATCTAAAATGTTTGTAAATCATTTATCAATATTATTCTGGTATAAAAACCACTAGACTTCTATTCAAAATGGTGGACTTAGTTGGTACAGGAAGACCCTACCTCTTTCCCAAACACAGAAATCCTGGATAAAATATAACACAGTTTGTAAGTACATAACATAATATAGGAGCAAGAAAGATAAATCTACTAATATTAACTTGGGCAAATCATGGCCCCCTAGGCTCTCTGACCCTAAGATAGTGCTAGGGTTTAATGTCCCTGCTGGGACAGGGGTCGAGGCTGCAAGTCTGCACCCATCACAGCTGGGACCTAAAACCAAACTCTTCATGAAACTAGAAACAGGGTGGACTACCCTACTAGAGATGGGAGAAGAGGAAAACTTTCACCTGTTTAATTAAGGAGTATAACCGGGAGGTGTATAGTGAATGGGAAAAGATGCCCCCAAAAGAATTTTGACCTAAACTTAAGCCACTTATGGTTTTGCGCAATCTATGAGGTTCAGAATCATCTAGCTTCGACATAACCATAAAACTAAATTGGAACCCATTGAGTCCCAGCAGAGGAAACATGAAACTACCCCACATCTATAACCAAGGATTTACTTTTATTTAAAATAACTCTTCTTAAAGATGATCTCAGAGGGAAAAAAAAATACAAAGCTCCTTAAAAGAAACAGCAGGTGCAAGAAGTGGGAGAATTCATGTTTAGGAATCCTGTTATCAGGGCATTCTGAAAGAGAGTAAGAAACAGTTCTGTTGGGCCGGCGGAGTGGCTCAGTTGGTTAAGAGCTGGCTTGGGACGCCAGAGGGCCCCGGTTCAGATCCCACATATGAGGGCCAGTGACACTGCCCTCTACAGCTAAGATGCTGAACAACAGCTCAACCTGGAGCTGGGCTGTCATGAGTCGCTGGAGAAGGCGTGGGCTGCAGCCCCTGCTGCAGTGGGTTGCCATGGGCTACCATGTGTAGCCAGCAGCCAGCGTGAGCGGCCCTCAGCCGCTGTGAGCGGCTATCTAGAAGCCGGTGACTGATCTGCCTCGCCCGGGAAGAGCGCAATGATGGTGCCAACTTGGGCCAGTGAAGCAACGTCCTCCACAACTAGACTGAAGAACAAAACGACAGCAACTTGTCTGTTCCCCTTCTCCCAATTCCCCAGCGCTGTTCCCATCCCCCCAATTCCCCAATAAAAAAACAAAAAAACAAAACCAGTTCTGTTTAAAATGTTCCAAGAGATAAATGAAGGTAAAGACCGGGGATTGAGATGAACATACAGATTTGAAAAAGAACTAAATAGAAATTCTATATATGGAAAATATTATAATTGAAGTGTACACACATGTGTTCATACACATACAGATGGATTCAACAGTGGACTGTAATCAGCTGAATAGAGATTTAGTGAATGGATTAGACAGACATCAAGAAAGCACCTAGAATGCAGCACAGAGTGGAAGAGAGATGGTAAAATGTGATCCTCAATATAAGTCTAGTAGAAATTCCAAAAGGAGGACTAGGTGGAATAAGGAAAATGCAATATTAGAAGAAATGAAGGTAGAGAAGTTTCCAGAATTGAAGAATGAGAGTTTAGATTGAAAATTCCACATTAAGAGCTGACTGCAAAAAAATCACATGGTGCACTTGTACAACTTGCAAAAAAATATTAAGGTTGTTTGAACTTTCACTATCTGTTTTTTCTTAGTCACCAATTAGACTAATCACTCAGATCCTTATACATATTTAATATTCTAGAAACAAAGCTGCCTAACTGAATGTTGTATAAGATTTTACCTTTAATTTACACTTGGGTCTTTTCATTTTCAGGAGATTTTGAGCTAGATGGTGGTTTGTCTAAAATGTAATCTCCTTTACAATGGTGCCTTAAACTCCAGAGTAGTATTTTTCAAACCTATTGTCTATGAAGCCCCAGGGTTCTTGGAAATGTGCAGGGTGGTGAAACAAGCAAAGGAGCAACACAGTGGACAGGACCCCAGGCTCCCTCACTATTTAATTCTTTTTTTTTCCCTTTTTATTTTAAAGCTATAAATCTTATTCCCCAGCTCCCCAAAATACAGAAGTATATAAAGTAAAAAAGTCTAATTATATGTGGGGATTCCATGTAGGATTTGGTTCTAGAAAAAAAACTGGTTCTGCTTCTTATAAAAAAACACCGCCACCAAAACCTAGTAAAAGTGCTTACATTAATCACCTGTTTTTCCATACCAGTTAGTAAAATAAGAACATAACAATATGTATTATAATAAAGAGCATGATTTTAAATAAGCCGTATGGGAAAAGTTTATTATTTTTAAGATATGCTTAGCTTTCATTTGAAAAGTATTCTATTAATTCAAGAAAAAAATTATAATCTTTCTAAATCTCACAAATGATTGTTTTGACCTTAGGTCCCTCAAAGAAAGACACAATCAGGTTGCTTTGATCTGGATTCTTCGTTACTGCATCTGAAAAGCTTAGCATCCAGAAGGTATTTATCTTAAAATTCATTTGTGTGTTTGAAGCAATATTATACAAAATTCTGACCGTTCACAATAAATACTATTGATTCTAAAAATCAGAAATTTAACAGGAATCTTATTTTCCAGCTGATTATCATTTTCAGTGTGATTACACACACATACATAATTTATTAAGGATGAGTTAGGGAGACATTAAGAAGAATAGATTCTATATATTGGTCATCATAATAAACAAACACATTAGTTTTAACATTTAAGTGGGTGTGCGTATTTCTGGTCTTTCACCTGCTGTTTTGCCTTACACTTCTCTGCAAAAAAGCCTTGGCAATTTGTTCCATGTTGACATACATACATATTTTTTGGTCACATAATTTTGCCTTTGTATTCTCATTTTTAACTGAAAATGAAGATATAAAAGACTGCATTATTATATGTTTCCAGTAGTTGCCACTATGTGATATATTATAAATTCCTCCCTTGAGACCTTCTAGGATGTTACATATATTTTTTATTAAATTTTATAACAAGTATTATAAAATCTAATCAGAAATTTGAAACTAAATATTTCATATCTTAAAATTTGGTTAACTTTTTATTGTGGTAGTAGTTTAAGTAAAATTGATCAGAGTATCTTAATTTAATTTAGTGCAAAAGTAAATTAGCAATTATTGTGGTTAATATGTCCATTCACTGATTTTTTTTTTTAAATTTAGTCCTCAGCCATGTTTAAACATTGAAGATGATCCAGATATTCATGAGAAACCATTTCTGAGTTCTAGTGCTCCACCTATAACAAGTCTTAGTCTCCTAGGAAATTTTGAGGTAATGTTTTTTGAAACTGTTTTAAGAGTTGATGTTTCTTAAGCTAGATCCAGGATATAATTTATGTCATTTATTTATGAATGGGAAATAAATAAATGGGTTGTGTTTTTTCCAAAGCCTTACAATCACCTTCTTTGTTTTCTTTTCCTTTTTCCTCTTCCTTTCCCTTTCATGAGAAGAGAAGTTAGGAGAATTGTTGGCAGTGACACCTTAGAATTGGGTAGCTTGTAGAGGAGACAGAGGACTTAGATGAAATCAAGTTGGATCAAGGTATCTGTTCCTCTAGCCAGAGGATAGACTTGACTCACCTTCTTACCTGGTAAAATTGGCTCTGGCACCCAGGAAGGATGGTGGTGTGCTGATAATAGCCCCTTCATGATCAAGGAGGTTGATTTTTAAAATCAAATAGTTCTTTTTAGTATATTTATAATTTCTCTGTAATTCTAAATCTATTTTAAAATAAGAAGATAATTTTTTTTAAAAAAACCAAATGGTTGAAGGTGTTTGATACATGTGCTGCTTTATTTAATATGAATATTTCTACTTGAGACTAAGTGTGTTATTATGGGTTCAGTTGTCATTAATTAGAAAACAATCTTAAACATGAACCCGTTGATGACATTTAGCAGTGATTTTAATTGGTGATTTATGGGAAAATAACTTGAAATTTGTATTTTTAACTTAAATAGCTTTATCAAAGTTGTGATGGTTTGATATATTAACAGTATGCTTTATTTAAGGCAATATTTTAACATTGAGGCTATCTTTCTAAGTTTTAGTGGAAATTAAAAAAATGTATATTTTATGGTAAGTTGATCTTTTTTTCCATGTCACTGTCAAGCTGTCAGGTCAGAGATGTTGAGCTCTCTATTCTTGGTCGTTGATTTAAAATTATCTAAGGCCCTTGTGAGGGTCAGGTCCTCTGCAGCCTTTGTGTTACAAGGACACCTATAAGGGAAGGAAAGAGCTTTGAGATGTAAACACCTAAGGAAAGGGAAGACGGTTAAGAAGAAGATCCGTATACTATTCTACTTCAGCTTCAGGTGTACAGCGCGTTGGTCAGGCATCTACACCATCTGTGACGCGATCCCCCTGATAAGTCCAGTGCCCATCTGGCACCCTACGTGATCTTTACAGCTATAACTAAATACATAGGTATATATAGTCATGGGATGTGGAATACAACATAGGGAAGATAGTCGGTGGTATTGTCACAGCTATATAAGATGTCAGAGGGGTAGTCGCTTGAGGTGTGGGTTATCACTTTATGAGGGGCATCAATATCTAACTATTACATTGCTTTGTACACCTGAAACTAATAAAAATAAATTTGAAAAAAAAAGATCAGTATACTGTCCTTTTCACGTGATTCTGTTTGTGCAATATACATACATTGCCATGTGTCTTAAGTAGAAAAATAGAGAAGTTCTGAGACTGTCCTCTTTAATTTATAATGAATTTGATGCTCTCTCCAGTAAATCACAGAAGATATTTATTCTGCTTTGCGAATATGACTCTCTACGGCAGTTTAAAAATGGGGAGGGGATAGACTTGAATTACTAAACTGACACTTTGGTCTTGTTTCATGAAACGGCAAAGCCGTACTGTACAGATTTGTTGAAGGAAATCAGGATGCTTTGACATTATTTGTGGAGTTTTAGGTGAAGTCTAGATATACATTGACCCCGAGTAACATCCAGGTCGAAGGCTGTCTGATTTCTGAGGCTAGTTATTAACTTTTTCTTGATACCATTTAGTTTTCCCTCTGATAAGGGTTAATATCCAACATATATAAAGAACTCATACAACTCAATAGCAAAAAAAAAAAAAGTCCAATTAGAGTTTTCTACTCCAAAAACCTTCTCATTCATTCCACTCATCTGTCCTGTGATTCTCTTCTTCCATCAGTTCAGTCCAGCACAATGCAGACAATCATCAGAAGTGGGTTATTTTTCCTACATGAGGGAATCCCAGTAATTTCTATCACTATAAAATAGCTCGCATTTTCTAAAATTTTGGATGAGTGGATTCATTCAGTAGTTACTCTTTTTTGGAGTCGAGGGCTTATTTCAAACACCATTATTATTTTGAAGTTATCTGTGTTGTCCTGTGTATCAAGAGTTCATTCCTTTTTATTGCTTTATATGGCAATAAAAGTTTATTAATTCATCTGATTCTAGACATTTGGATCATTTCCAGTGTGGGGCTATTACAAATAAAGCGCCTATGAATATTCATGTATGAATTTTTGTGTGGACATAAGTTTTCATTTGAGTTAGGTAAATGACCTAGGAATGGAATATGTGGGTAGGGCCTACCATCCATGTTAGTATATTAATTAGTATGATAGGTGTATGTTTAACTTTTTAAGAAACTGCCGAACTCTTTTTTCCAAAGTAGTTATACATTTTTAATTCCCACCAGCAGTGTACGAGAATTCTAGTTCCTCCGCATCCTTACCAGTGTTTGCAATGGTCAGTCTTTTTAATTTTAGCCACTTTAGTAGGTGTATAGTGCTATCGCACTGTGGTTTTAATTTGTATTTCCCTATGACTAATACTGTTAGAGCTTCCTTTCTGTGCTTTATCATTTAGCTTTGCTTTCCCAAATAAGCACATGTTTTCCAAATATTTTCTCCAACTCTAAGGCGTAGATTTACATCTTTGTAAATCTTTGAAGAGCAAAGGATTTTAATTTTGTTCTTGTCCAATTTATTATTTTCCTTTCTGGATCTTGACTTTGATGTTATATCTAAAAAATTTTTGCCTAACCCAAGGCTTCTCAACCTTAGCACTATTTCCATACCTGGAAAGGTAAACACTAAATTGTTAAAAGTGGTTGTCTCAGCGAGTGAGCTTGGGAAAGATGGATAAGGATCTTCTCTTCTGTTTGGATTTCTGTACTTTTAAGGTTTTTTTCTAATGAGCATTTACTGTTTTTTAAGTTAGACAATAAAACATATGTTCCATACGGCAGTTTTTTTTTTAAAGCAGTTATTTCTCAGTTAAAGTTATAAGTACTTGGTTTTCTCTTTTGATGGATGGAACTTCCTTCCGTACACGACCTGCTAACAAGCTGTCACGTGCTTCTCTGTAGCTAGCACCATGCGGGGATAAGAAAATTTCTGATATTATACCTGCTCTGGTAGAGTATATTTTTATTTACAGAGATAAGAATAACATATTAAACAATTAGGTCTAATGTTCAAGTTCAAGGACAGTTCAACCTGGGTTAGAATAGTGAGAGGAGGCCAAACTTTACAGGATGTTAGAAGATTGATGGGGGAGGGTTTGATTTCAGGTCAGACATCAGAAATGAGGGCATGGCAATGGTAACAACCACTTTTCTGGTGCCAAAAGGCATAGTAATGTATTTCTTTAAGCAGAAAACAAAATGAGTGTGTTAACTTTTAAATTTATTTCTTAAAAATTATTTTGTTTTTCAGGAATCTGTCTTGAACTATCGTTTAGATCCTCTCGGCATTGTCGATGGTTTTACTGCCGAGGTAGGGGCAAGTGGCGTTTTCTGCCCCACACATTTGATTCTTCCAGTTGAAGTGTCATTCTACAGTGTTTCAGATGATAATGCTCCCTCTCCTTATATGGCAAGTATTTTTAAAACTGTCTTTTTCTGTTAAAATCAACCAACTTAATGACAAATGTCTTTAAGATGAAAAAGATTGAGGATTGCTTTGGTGTTGTGCTTGAAAATATAAAGCATTTCTTAAGAGAAAACTGAAGGCTAAATAGAAAGTAATATACCAAAATATTACCCCACAACTTCTTTCTGAGCTATCTAACAATAAATATCCTCTTTTGCATTTGATGTTGCTGAAAATGTATTTGATGTGATTTGAAAAAAATGATAAACATTTGATTAGTGATATTATAATTCCATATCTTGCTGAGCTCACACAAATTCTAAACTGCTTACTGTTCACTCTAGTCCCACAAGGGTTGCCTTCACATGTGAACCTCATCTCAGTAGGTGAAGATTTGATAACCTAAGGCTTTTGTGAGCCCCTTTTACCCCTTTTCTCATGTTTGGTTTGTCTTTAGATCATTTTTTTCTTATCCTAGGGTTCTTTACAATATTAGGTATTTTTTATTCCATTCTAATGTTTTAGTGGAGAGTGAAATAGCTAAGGGAAATTAGAGCACAGTTTTGAGCCTTACGATCCTATGATTTCATCTTTGCCATTTTTTTTATTCTAATAGATTGAGGATAAACTAAACCTTCAATTGCGAAAATGATACCAAGCCCTGGAATATGATTAGTGTCAGCCCTTTTGCAAAAGACAAAGAGGGAGCAGTGGGTAGCAATGCAAGTCTAGAAAAAGTTTCAGTGGCGGTGTCAAATACGGAGTCTGATCTGGGTTTTCATGTTAGGTCTTACTTTGAAAAATACATACAGCTATAGGTATAGACGTATACAGCATTGGTTCTTGCTACGTGAATGTCCCAGCTACCGCCTGGCTCAATTGCTTTCTTGCCCTTCTGTATTTTCAAGGACATTAATAACAGTGTCTTTTATTATTAATAAAAGTTAAGAAAAGGGAATTTTACATAATTGAGAAACAGAGTAAGGGAAGTTACACCCTTTTTAGGAGTCTAAACATAACCTACTCATTATTGGCACAGTTTTCTCGAGGAAGCCTTATACCATTCTAAGGGTGAAAATTTTAGCCAAGAGCATGATCAGTGTCTCATTCTTTGATAGAAAAAGCATACTGGTGTCTGCTCATTTATTCAAAGTTTTCTTTTTCCAATAATGTTTACACTTGTGGATCATAATCATAGGACGCACAACACTGGTTATTATGAAAAAACAGAGGTCTACTCCTTCACAGTTATCACATAAGCCACCTGTTATTCATTTGCCATAGAATGATGAATCCACTTATCCAGTATAATTTTGAAAAAGTAACTGCTGATTTTTGATAATTAATAAAATGGAAAGCACCACTGATATAAGTTCAATATCAGAATAGAAATGTATCATGTTGGAATGCTTACAATGTTAGACTATAACTGAAAAGATGCCCATTTAGCTTTACAAGGACATCAAGTTTCACATATTCTACTGACACATAGTGATAGAGAATTGAAAGATAAGGTCTAAAATACTGTCATCTGTTATTAGTGAACAGGGTTCTGATGACCATTAGGATGGCTTAGAAACAAGATGAAAGAATGAATTGGCTGAAAATCAGCTCAAATAAATATCTTTGTGGGAAATTCATGAGCAAGAGGTCATTTGAACTGTGCTTTAAAAAAGCAAAGCAGTGTTAATCCTTGACCTCGGTTGACATGTGAAAAATGAAGAATTAAGAGAGAGAAAGGATTTCATCACTCTGTCTCCAGAAAGCACACACAAATGATTACAGATTTTGCATAGATATTGGAAAGAATTTAAATCATGTTATTGAGTTGAGTTAGTCTGTCCTTTTATAAGAATCCCTGATTTACTTTTCTCTGATATTTTTCAATAAACTTTCCACTGTGTAATTTTTTTTTACAAGTCAGTTTTACTTAGGAATACCGTAGGTTCCCTCTGTCCAAATCTTAGACCACAGATCTTTCCTATTGTAAATGAAAAAATTAATGTTCTTCAGGGAATCTTATTTATATATTGGTAGTTTAGTCTGTTTTCAAAGGACTGACCCATGTTTTGATAAGATAATACATATCACAGACCAGTAGAGCTGAGACAAAAAACTCCTATTTGTTACTCTAACAATAACCTGGGGACCTCTCATCACAAATTATACAAATGGCTCACAGAGGTAAAAATTTTAGCACAGGAAATTCTGTCTTAATGGTGTAGAAGTGGTACAGGACTTTTCATTAAATAATTTCTTAAGGATTAACTCAAAGCTATATAATATCTCTCTCCAATTGGCTGTCAGTGGTAAAAATGTTCTCTAAGTATTATAACATTTCACAGTTCAGAAACTATTATGTGGTGGAACCAGGCAGAAAGGTCTAAAGCAAGTGTGCCAGTGGCAGTTCATGGTACGACTTGCATTATCATCATATTAGCAGGGCCATGTATATTTTCTTCTATTTCTAATTAACCAAATTAAGATAAACTTCTTTTCAATTTTACTTAGCTTTGTAGATTCTCTATTCCATAATAATTTGAGAAAGAGCTTTTGTATAATATTTGACCCAGTTTAGTTTATCTCAACCTTGCTATTCCATCCTAAAATACCAGAAGAAAGTGTATTTTTCTTCTTTATGTTAAATACAGTAACTTTTTCTAGGTAGAAATATTAATATGATGACCTGTTAAAATAATGAATAAGTTAATAATATTAATAAAATTCCAAATAATTTCTCAAGTTCTTTCTAAAATTCCTAATTTGCCAGTGCCATTATTCGTCTTACATTGATTCGAAATGGTTGTAAAGTGTTGCTTTACTCTTTAAGATTTTTAAAAAATCTGTATTATTTCTTTATAAATTGATTTGGTTACCATTATCTTGTTCTAAAAACTATTAGAATTGTATGTATTAAAGGAAATAAGCATAGGCTTTGATAGTAGTTTTTGCCTCACCAGTTTTTCTTTATTTATTTAGGGGAGGGTGGCAAGGAAGAACAGTAATATATTGCCTGTAGCAATGTGATTATAAAGGTAGCTATTATTTAGATATATTTTACTTTTTCTTTCTGGAACTAGGAAGAAGAGGGGCTTACATACCATAGCATTTTTCATTTAGAGCAGATTATAAGAGAGAAATTGTTTAAAACTTCATTGCTGTTTTTGTTAGTGATGCGATTTGTTGATATGCTGTTTTCATACTCTCAGTGACCATGTGATAAATTATTTATCAAGAGCCACATATGTCTTCTCATTGCTCATTTCTCTGAATATTTCCCAATATTAACATGGTAATGTAATAGCCTGATTCTTGCGCTGCTCACTTGGAGTTGAGATATTCACATATTGGAGTCTGGCCTTCCCTTTTACCTTTATCCACTCTCTTTTACCCCTCAAACCTGACCTGTCTTTCAAACCCCACAGAGATGTTGCCTGATGGAACAGTCCTGTTTTATATTTACTTTTACATGTTTTGGCATGTGCAACATAGAATGATGGGATATGAAATGTGGAGTGTGTGATTATTCTACTTAACTACATTAAATACTCAAAAGAAAACTATTAGCCCAGTTAAAACAAATGAATCAGCATTCATTTCGCAAAGCTATCTAGGAATTAAGTATCAATCACTGCCTTTTGTTGTTTTGTCATCCTGGTTATCTAGAAATTTTCACACGTTCAATCTTAGGTTCCCTTGTTTTAATATATACTTGTTTCCCATTGTTTGGACTTCTGCAGTGATTAGAACATCCTCCTCAGGAAACTACTGTATACAGCAGTGCTTCTCAAACTTTAATGTTTGTGTAATATCATGTGGGGAATCTTGTTAAAATGCAGATTTGATTTGATAGGTCTGGGGAGAAGCCAGGGAAGCCAGAAATTCTGCATTTCTAACAAGTTTGCAGGTGATACTAATACTGCTGATCTGCCTCTACTCAGAAGTCCATGTACATGACCTAATTTGCTGACTGGGGAATTGACTTCGTTTTTGGCCAAGACTTAGACCCTTCCACATTCCTGATTGTTTATTATGTCCAAAGACCAATAGATTGTTTTGCTTCTTAATTTCGCTCTTTCCATATGACACAGGGTATAATCCTGTAATCTCCCTTTATCCTTTTTAGTTAAGGAACTTCTTGCATCTATATCTTATATCTTAATAGAAATTTCAAGCAGTATGGTGTTATATGTTTGTTATTTATTTGATATATTCGTTATTTATTACATATTTGATGTTATGTGTTATTTATTGCAACATCTCCAAGAAGAACAGTAAATTAGTTGTTTCCGTATCAGTGGGACCCTCACTGTTTCGTACTCATAGAATGTATCTCTATTAATTTAGTGTGAATGTTTTTCCATAGACATAGGTTCTGAAATTTTAGTAATTACACGATTAATATTATTTTAATCAGTTTGTCTTCTTTTGTTTTTCAAGGGTGTCATTACTTTAGAGTCCCTTGGTAAAAGGGGTTATCGAGTACCTCCTTCAGGAACAATACAAGTGGTATGTGTTTTATAGCTACAATTGCAATAATCATTCTCTCACATACATATAGAACTTAGCCCTTTCTCCTGATCCTGCTGCTGCAACAACTTTGGTAAGTAACAGTGGGGCTGCAGCTTTGTTTGGAGTTTCCCTGCACTGCCCCAGGAATGACCATGTGGGGACCTCCATAAAAAGGAAAGCCTTAATAAGCTAATCAAGGTGAATGCTTTAGAAAAATAGTGTATGACAGTTTACATGGCTTAAATGGAGCAATTTTTCAATATAATTAGAACCTAGCATTACCAGTGCCTTCTATTGCCAGACTGAGATTGACCTATTTAAAGGGAGACCCCAGGGAGTGGCTGGTTTACTCAGTTGGTTAGAGCGTAGTGCTGAATAACAAACATCAAGGTTGCTGGTTCAATCCCGCAGGGGCCACTGTGAGCTGTGCCCTCCTTAAAAAAGTAAATAAATAAAAAATTAAAAAACAAAAGGAGACCCCAACTTTTAGTATTGCTTTGGCAGGAAAACTTGGGAAGCAAAATTATATTATCCCTAGTATAATAATTTCTAAGTTGATCTAATGAAATGGTTATACAAAGCAGAAATGTAGTCTGACAGATGTCAAGGTAGAAGCCATCTTTCCTTTTGGTCTAGGTGTTGATCTAGCTTGGGTTCAGAAGAGCTCTTCTAGCCCAGAGCCATCCATCAGCATCCTTGGTTTAGGGTTCTCAGAAGAGTAATTTGAGATTAAGGCCCCTTTACCACTGAGTTCATCTCCAAGTCAGACCAAGGATAATCTTGAAAGCCCAGAAGTCTATAATAAAGTTGGCTCTTGCAGACTGAAAATTGTCTCGCTGATATCTGTCAATTATACCTCAGTAAAGCTGAAATAAAAAAATAAAAAAAGTCAAGCTGAGTTCCTCATATTCAGGATGTGGTATATGATTCAACACACACTTCACCAGACCACTTTTACTCAATACCTTTGTTCCAGTGGAGCAAAGGAGCCCATACATTTGCTTATTTCATATCACACCGGAATGAAACACAGTGCTATGCAATATATATGTGTTTATGTATTGCAATATATACATAGTGTATACATATTACTGAAGAAGAAGCACTATATATTAAAGATTTTTATGTGGAATGGATCTCTTGAACTAAAAGAATGATAATCTGCTTGCTCTCTTGCCTCTGGCTACGTAGCTCATGTTAAAGTTTGAGCCACTGGAAAGCTAGCTATCAGTTGTCATGATAATGAGGCATACACCCAAGGGCAGCATGGTCATGTCTTGTTTGAGGTCTGCAAACTTAAATGGCTAATTTTAAATCTGAAATTTAGGTATTTTGTTCCTTATATAGCTTAATTATGTATAAACATGGTTTGAACTCCTGACTTGCTAGTTGTGTGGTTGTTGAATGTATTAGCCTTAGTCTTAAGACTCACTTAGATTTTAAAAAATTGGATCATGATATTGATATATTTCTCATTTTGATTCAGTGAGTGATGTCCAGTGCCACGGATGAGCTTCTGAAAGCATGGGCACCAAGTTACCTATTGATGTGTTGGTAATTTGGTTAAAGTCAGATCAGCAGCTTGGGATTTTGTTTATAAATCAGTATTTTTAAAAGTATATTTCATTGATTATTAATAGCCAAGTGTCAATTGAATTTAATTCAGTCTTCACTAAGGATACATATTTTGGTATATTATGATATTGATGATGATAAAAAAAAAGTGTTGCTGCAGCTTTTGAAATCAATCCAACTGCGGGAACATGAAGTATTATTTAGCCTACTTTGTAACTAATAATAATGAACTTTATTTTTTAAACTTAGATACATTTCCAAATAGGAAAAAGTCTCCCTTTTGAGAATACAGTTTAAATTTTGTAATAGCCATATGTACCTAGCACACCAAAAAGTCCAGTTTTACCAAGATTTTATTTTATTTTTAAATTTTATTTACTCACTATTAAAATGTGAGGAAAAATAAAATCCTGTTCTGAGGAATTTGCAGTTGGTACACTTTAATGAAGCTAATGTTTGAATAAATGAACTGGAATGTTTTAATCCATTGAGGGTATATTTTGCTTAATCTAGTGGAACCATTTCTTAACATCTGAAGGAGTAAAAGTTATGTATTGTAATATGAAATTTGTGGCTAAAGGTTTTGATTTGTTACAGAATTTTACATTATCGTGAAATAAAAATGAATTGAACTAAAAAAAAATGAATTGAACTATTTTTTTAAGTATTGAATATTATCTCATAAACTTCTGAAATTTCATTAACTTTAGTCTCTAAAACTGAATTATATATGCTGGGATTAATTTATTTAAAAATCTAATTTATTATTGGCCTAATCATTTTGAGTCAAATCAACAGATCACCGCTTTTAAAGAATAATTTCTATATTGTTTCTATAGACCTTATTTAACCCTAATAAGACTGTGGTGAAGATGTTTGTTGTGATATATGACTTACGAGATATGCCAGCCAATCATCAGACATTCCTACGGCAACGAACTTTTTCTGTCCCAGTTAAACAAGAAATGAAGAGAAGTGTTCATAAAGAGAACTTCCGGCGTACAGAAGAACGGTTATTACGCTACCTCATACATCTGAGGTAATCTTTCAAGTGTATATGAAAATATGTTACTTTAGAAGAGCAACTCTAAAATGTTTAGTTTATTTTAAAAACTGTCACTCTAGCTAGACCACTGCCCCTTGGAATTTGCTTAACTTGGAAACTCCCGATCATATGCCAAGATGCAGAAAACACATGGTGTATCTTCCTGCAGTCATTATCACTTGTTGAATTTGGGGGGTTTTCATTTATAGCTGTGTAATGTAAAGTATTTTATATAAAAAGAAATGTTGATAAATCTGGGGCACTAAATCACATTTTCTAAACCAGTGCTGTCAATAGAATTATATTATGAGCCATATATGTAGTTTTATATTTTCTAGTAGCCACATTAAAAAACTTGTAACAGACAGGAAAGATTACTACATTTTATTTAACCCAACCTACTCAAATGTTATAATTTGAATATAGAATCAATATAAAAATTACGAATATTTTGCATTCTTTTGTTGTACTAAATACTTGAAATCAAGTATGTATTTTTTACTAACGGAACAACTCAACTTGAACTAGCCACATTCAAGTGTCCATAGCCTCTTGTGGCTGCTGTATCAGGCAGGGAAGTTCTTAAACTTCATTCCGTCATTCTACAAATACTTAATGTGTCATGCATGCTTCTAAACACTAGGAAACAGCTGTGACAAAAATCTCTGTCCTCATAGAGCTTATATTCTAGTGATTCCATTAGAAATATCTTTTCCTAGTCAGTATGGTCGAGCATTCTAAGGCACTGTGTTTAGAAAAAGCTTTTCCTCTAACTTTTACCACCCACCTCACAGCTCAATGTTGTGAGAAACCATTTGTTTGCCCTTACGGTTCAAGTTGCCAGCATGCTAAGGTCAGGTTTTCCAACCTGAAATCCGAGTATAGTGCTCACGATCAATGAGCCAGTCTGTTGGTTAAGATAGAGCTCGATAGCCTTTTGCCTATAACTTTGTTCCTAATAATTTTCTGATGCCATTCATAGTAAGTCATCCATCAAGTCCATGAGAGTAATTCATCTCATCCCAACTCCTTACTCCAAGGAGCCCTATTCATCAGGAGGAGGTACCTTTCATTCAGGGCCCAGGCAGAGGACCTCTCTGATCTGTTACTGATGGTGACCACCAGCTATCTTTCAGTAGATATGCCTTGTGGTGATGGGGAGTGAAGAAGGAGTGAGCTGTACACTCAAGCCCCACACTTGAAAAAGTCTGTTAATTGGTTCCCCCCATTGCACTGCTTAATTGGTAGCCTTACCTTGAGGTCTCTGCCTGGTGCTCTGCACCCTAAGGATGTGTTGAACCAGCACAATGTATTTACACCCAGCTTTACCACACCTGATATGAGCCTCATGGGAAATGGTATACAGATTATGGGAATGAAAAATCTACAACAGAGTTGGAAGACTTTTTAAAAGAGAAATGGTAGAAAATAGCAGACTGTAAGAATAGCTCCCAGCCCAATCCAGGAAAGGATTCAACTCTCTGTAGACTTCCATTTAATACCATTCCTCTCTCTCTTCAAGTTTAACAACCTTAGCCATAGGTAACCTACATTTACCAAAGTAAAAATCAACTACCCCAGCTTTTATAATCCCCACCTAATGACTAGATACTTTAAATGCTCTAGAGAAACTTCTTTTCCCTTGTGACATAATTCCCAGAGCTCACCATGTTCCCCTTCAGATTGAGATGGTGAAAAACTTCAGGAAGAAGAGTGAGACAGTCAGAGAGGTCTGCTCTAATATACACAATTGACAGCCAAAGTTTCCAGCCAATTTAGGAATAAAATCCACAAACCCAGAGAGCACTTCTGCTATGCAAAGGGAAAACCAGAGAAATTAGTGCTAAAGGGTATGTTTGACCATCGGCCAGATAAATTTATATGATTAAGAATTCCAAGCCCCTTCTATTATGCTCTAGATATTAGCAGGGGATAGAAAATGCTCCATATACAGTTTTGATAACCATTTTATTTGATTGCCAACTTTTCTCCTTGTTTTTAATGATGATTAGGCTCTAGCTAGCCACTGCTGATGATAGCAGTCCTTTCTCCTGCTGTGATTGTCCTCAAAACGTGGTTATTTTCTGTGGTGGCTTTTCAAGCATGGAATCGATTTTAATGTACTCAAATTGTGGGAGGGCGAGTTGTGCGAAAAGGGATCAATCTGCATGACTAGAAGATGCTAGGCTTGCAAAGCCCAAATGTAGTATAATTGGCTGATGTGAACTGAAACTTGACACTGTAGATGAGGAAAGGTGCATGTACTGTGGTGTCAGGGACGAAAAGTAGAATTGTATGTGAAACCCATGCTTTCAGAAGGAGGCATGTCTGGCATTGTGAGAGGGAAAAGGAAGTATGAAGTGTTTAGGGAATCACAAGGGAGAGAGAGACACTTACATAGCTGCACGTGCTTTGGCAATATAAGACTTTAAATATCTTGTTAAAAAAGTTACGATTAACATAGTTGCAAGACTTAATTCTTCCTACTTTCAAAATTTAATTATTCACGGGGTGTTTTTGTTGTTGTTTTAAAGACTCATTCCCTGAAATTATGCATCTTTTTGTTTGTTTGTTTAGGTTCCAGAGTTCTAAATCTGGAAAGATCTACCTCCACAGAGATGTACGACTCCTGTTCTCTAGAAAGTCAATGGAAGTTGATAGCGGTGCTGCGTACGAACTCAAATCTTACACTGAATCGCCAACAAACCCTCAGTTTTCACCAAGATGTTGATAAGGAGTGGCATTGTAAAGTATTCGCTCAGTACCCAAGTTTGAAAGTAAAAATTAGCATAGAACAGAGTGTACCAAATTAACCACCGGGAGAGTGGATCCTCTCCCGTTATCCTGGACCAGTCTTTATTCAAGGATGCCTGGAATGAGATCCACATATTCCAGGAGACTGGAAACACTCATGTCCTAAGCCTTTTTGTACTGTTGAAACCACTTCATTGGACATGTTGCAATAGCAAAACACCCCCCACCCCCGCCCCAATTAGATTAGTGTTTACACATTTTATTTCTCAGTTATTTAATATTTAATGTTTTCCTTAATACTCAAGTGATGTTTGTCTCTAGTGTTCTAATGTAGCACAAATCCTATGTAAAATCATACTATGTATTTTTGACATTAATTGTTGAAATCTGAAATATATGCACAAGTCTTTAATTTTGTGTGATGTGTTTTCAGTACTATACATTTTAAGTTATTGAAAATGAGAATGAAATGTTGAGCTTCTTTAAGATTAACGCACTATGCAAGCATGTGTCCTTTTTATAAAATCTCCCCAAGTTTAATTTTTACAACACCCCTTCCAGGTTGCTGGCTCACACAGTAGTCCTTTAACATCTGTATTAGCGGTGCAACGTGGACTCAGCTGCTTCCCATTCTCTTTGCAAGTTCAGATCATCATGCCCTTTCATATTCCTCCTAGAATCCCTCATGCCCCAAACAGTTCTATTTTTCCTTAATCACTACTACAGAGGCTTTACATTCAATTGCTGTCCCATGCTAGATAATTTTTGCAAATTGTTTAAAAAATATGTACTTTGAAAACAAATTAATATTTATATTGTAAATATATGCAAAAAAACCCAAAAGAAACGTGTATTTGGCTTTTATTTTTATGTGAGACATTTATGTGATTGAATAAATTTCTGGTAGCCATCAGACAGTTTCCACTCTAGCTTTACAACTGACAGGAGGAGAGGGGGCGATATCTTGAGCCTTGTCCCAATTTACTTTCTTTTTCTGGGTCACAATGGAAGGCATTTGGCACCTGAGAAAACCACCGAGCAAGGGAACTTGACTGAGTGCCTCAAAAGCCTTCCCTCCATCCCCCTTTAGAAAGAAGAGTGGCTTTAGATGTTTGTGGAGGGACAGCAGGCAACAGCAGATCAGATAACAAGGCACAAATAACTGGGGATGCTGGGACAAAGCTGCAAGGGCAGGTTAGAAAATATGTATCACTCAGGTAATCCAGACCAGGAGACCTGGGAGTCTAGAACTAAATGAGCAGTGTGGAATTTGGGAGACGGGAAGGTCTTTATTTGGGGGCTTGGCCAATTCAAGAGAATCTGGACAGGTGATGAGTGTGGGGCTGTAGGCTTTGGGGTCGCCGGCAAGAAGCCTCTTAAAAATTTATTTTAAAATACCAGCCAAAAGAGAAAACTATATTTTATAAAACTAAAAAAAAAGTCACTGGCACAAATTTATGAAGACTGTTCTCAATCTTCAGGCTATGTGAAAACAACATGGGATTGGGACCCAAAAGCTTTGGATTATAGTCCTAGCTCTAATGGTATCTGAAGGGACTGACTCCAGGAATCCTCTTGACCTTTCTAGGTCTGTGTGATTAAGAAAATGGGGTGAGAGTATCGTTAATGGGCCTTTTCTTCTTAAATTCTGCCATCAAATTCTTGGAATAAGGATTTCAATACACGTATCTAGACTTACACACTTGACAAAAATCAATATGGATAATTTTATTTAAAATGGAAAACACCAAGTAATTGAAACACTGCTTTTTAATTTTTTAAAAGTTATTGCTTCTTTGACCTCTTCAGTAATCCAAAAAGCAGTAGTGGGTATTGTATGTATGTGTCTTTTTATGTGGCTACCACATCGTAATCTTTCCAGAGTTTTTTCTAGTACATGGTTTCCACTTTTCTGGGCATTTTTTTAGAAAATTTGAAGATGATTGAAGCATCTGGGTGCATCTTGTGCTCTTCCTGGCAAGCTTGTGCAAGGGAAACATTTTGTCCCTTTACCTCTTAGAGCCTTTTCCCCCCCTATGTTGTTTTTCCCAGAGAGATAGGGTCACCCAGCTCCTGTCTGCTCTCACTTGCCTTGGTCCTGTAACATAATGATTCTTTTTCCACTCTTCTTTTGTCATAGACTGAAACTTGACCACACCTCCTACATGGCTCCTCTTTGTATTCACAGATTATGTCACTAGATTGAGTGTTGGCATGCAGGTAGATACCAGAAGACAATCGACAGTGCTACTACCTAAGGTAGATAATACAGACTGCCTCACTTACTGCAGGTTCACTTGGCAGTTTTACAGAATGAGTCACAACTGATAACTACCTTCAAAAAGGAACTCTAGGTCACAAATAACCTGCAGACAATCTTTGGAAATTTTCTTATCAGGTGAGAATGGAAAATAATAAGTTATGAAATAAGAAATGACTGGAAAGCACCCAACAGAAGGTTCTCCCCTCTTGCCATTTTCCCTACCAGGTATGTGTCATTTCCAGAGGGTTAAAGAAAGGAAAAAATTTCTCCTTCAAAAAATTCATCCCTGGGATCCCCACTCTTCCCTAATTTGTTTTGTGAATGAAGCAGTGATTCTTTTCCAATTTAATTTTTTAAATGTATGCAATAAGTGTTCATTATAAAAAAATTTTCATACTACATAATTATATAAACTACATGTGAAAATCCCTCTGTCTGCCCTGCTGGCTATCATTTTACAGAGATGGTCACTGTTAAAATTTTGGTATATGACACGTGTATGGTCTACTAGACTTAGGAACACAGTATCAGTCTAGACAGGAAGTGGGCTTCTCATCATGGTAAGAATTCACTCAGTCCCTGTTGGAATCAGCCCATTCTACGCCATCATGGATTATCTGTGAGAGATATAAGTGTTAAACTTGGACACTGGGGGAGGAAGAAAATAATATGAATACCTACAATGTGCCAGGCACTGTAAGCAATTTATATTTATTTAACACTTAAAGCCATACTTCAGAGACAGCATGAATATATTCTACAGTGAAAGAAAGGGAGACTTGAAGAGCTTGCCCAAGGTCACACAGTAAGTAGAAGAGCCAGGATTCAAATCTAAGTTAAAGTTTACGATTTTTCCATTCTACTACACTGGCATTTTGTCTCTTTTTTCTTTTTTAAGATTTTCATTGGGGAATTGGGGGGATGGGAACAGTGCTGGGGAATTGGGGGAAGGGGAACAGACAAGTTGCTGTCGTTTTGTTCTTCAGTCTAGTTGTAGAGGACGTTGCTTCACTGGCCCAAGTTGGCACCATCATTGCGCTCTTCCCGGCTGAGGCAGATCAGTCGCCGGCTTCTGGACGATCGCTCACGGCAGCTGCTGGCCGCTCACGCTGGCTGCTGGCTGCTCACGCTGGCTGCTGGCTACACAGGGTAGCTCACGGCAACCCACTGCTACAGGGGCTGCAGCCTACTTCGTCCCTGGCAACTCACAGCAGCCCAGCTCCATGTTGAGCTGTTGTTCAGCATCTTAGCTATAGAGGGCAGTGTCACTGGCCCTCATATGTGGGATCCGAACCAGGGTCCTCTGGCGTCCAAGCCAGTTCTTAACCATCGCGCCACTCGGCCGGCCCTTGTCTCTTTTTTCATTCTTTGTTTTTCCATTAGTAATTGTGGCCTGACATTAAAATATTCTTTTCATCAATATTCTTGGGAATAAAGTTTATAATTTGCTGTGTGATAAGTGAGTTATATAATAAGGCAATGCCTGGGACAAAAAAAAAGACTGATTAAAACAATAGACTTTAGAAAGGAATATCCTAAAGCAACTCAGAGGCCATTCTACTTCATATACTGTCAGGAGACATGGAAATATAGTTGAGGGACGTTTTAGACACGTTATGGCAAATATATTGTGAGATTTTAAAGGTTTAAAGTTTTTAAAGTCTTCCAGACCCCACTGTTTAGCGTTCTCTCTAATTAGTTCAACATTTTTCTGTTTCAATCTTCCCATTTCATATAAAGGTTTCTCATCTCACTAACTAAATCCCTAGAGAAGTGGTATCCTGCACTTTCTAGGTTCCACTTCCAGCACTCAAGTTGTGGAAACTGCTCTCTTTATAGTTATCTGGCCTGCTTATTTAGGTAAGTTTCCCTAGGCTTTGCTCACAGAAGCCACCATGTATCCTTAGGGTTTGGGACACTCTGTATCTTCCTTGGTTTCCCTTAGTTGATCTCCCAGTCCTGTCTCTTCTCTTTATTAAAAATGTGTTCTGTTCTCAATATTTGCTACAATATTAGCAATGATGCAGGTGGACTTTATGTTTGTGGAATGGATGCGGTGGGCCATGATCTCATCTACTTTCCTCACTCCTACAAACTCTTGAGGTAGGGCACCTAAACCTCAAAAAGACCCGTGATCTTTTTTAAAGCTTTTATACACCTACCAAGTTCTAAGCCCCAAAAATCTTTGGTGCACTGTGCATCAGAATCGCCAGGGGGAGCTTTGGTTAAACATCAGTTTTTGGACCTTGCTTTAGACCTAATGAGAATCTTAATAGGGTTTCTCTGATTCTAATCCCTGCAGCTAATTTAGTTAATTAAATTTAAATAAAATTTAAAATTCAGTTCCTCAGTTACATTTAAAATGCTCAATAGTCATACACATGGCTGTGACTACTGTATTAGCACAGATAGAATATTTCGATTGTTACAGTAAGTTCTGTTGGACAGTACTGATCTAGAATATATAGATGGCAGTAGAAGCTATGAGGGTGGAAGTAATCTCCTGGGAAGTGTAGAACTAGAAGAGAAGGGGATCAAAGGACAGAATTGCTACAATTCTCCCATTAGGAGGCAGATAAAGACTCAACGAAGGAGATTAAGGACTGGCCAGAGAAAAAGGAGAGAATAAGACAGTGGTATCCCAGTGACCAAGAGAAGGAAGTGTTAAGAAACAGGGTGTTGGTGATCAGTGTGCACTTTTAAACATTGAGGTTCATGGTTGATGATGCAGACGGGTGTTAATTGGGGAAGGATGGCTTCCTAGTCAGGTCCCCACATTGGGGTATTGGCCTTTGTGAATTCTCCAGCGACCAAAGTCAGCCTCCCAGAAACTGAACCTTTCCTCATACGAGTGTCGTTATCTTTCAGGAACAGATTTTCTTTATACAAAGCCACATACATTGATTTTTTTTTATTATTGTTGTGTGTGACTATCAGATTTTAACCCAACCCAAGCTAACAAATATTGTACATTGATATAGAATATACAGAGGGTGCCCCCCAAAAATGTATACACTTTTTAAGAAAGGAAAACTGTATTAAAATTGTAATAATATATACTGATAACAAAAGATGAATACGAGTCACTTTGACTTCTGCAATTACAAGAGGTGCTCACAATGGTTACCATCGGCGTCCAGACACTTATGATTATGGCGAACTACTGCTTGAGCAACATTGACCAAAGTGTCCACTTGTATATATTTTTTTGGCACCCCCAGTATACCAGAATGCTAGTTTATTAATAAAAATACAACTGCTAGATGCTCCAGTTAACCTAGCTAGTGCATTCTCCTTTCTCCCTGTAGTTCCACATAAAAGAAAGGCAAATCTTTAGTAGGTTATTTTGTGGGTATTGAATGAGAACAAATTTAGTTGAGCTTACAAAGTTTCTCAGCTGACCCAGCTCAAGGGATATCCTTGTCAAAGAGTTGGCCTCCTGAACCCTTGTTATTTTAAAAACTTCATCGCCAGACAAACCCCTTTCCTTCCCCAAAAGGAGTGTAGTGTAGCCCTTGTTTTTTAAGTTGCAATCCCAGTACAAGTCTTCCTGTCTGAAATTCCATCAGGACACCCTGGTTGAGTTTTAATAGTTTCCCAATTCCCACAGAACTGCATTCATTATCTGTTTCTTATCACTAGTTCAGCTATTAGAAGGCAATCTTATTTGCAGGTTTCTGAGAGCTGCTTCATTGGAAACACCCTATACTGCCAGTAGCTATTCAGATGGCTAGGAGAGGGGGGATTAAATGTAAAGCCAACAAATTTAGCAATTAAGCAAGTCACTGGAGGAGTTCAGCGCCAGCAGTTTCAGTCAAGTTGTGGGAGTCGATCCCCAGTAGACAAATGAACGGAACTTTTAATTCCTTCGTCAGATATTTATTGACTATCTAGGAAATGCTGGGTTCTGGGAGTGAAACATAAGCAACTATGGGTGAGGTCCCTGCCCTGATGTGGCTTATCTGAGCAGGCAAGGGGGCATTACTAAAGTAATCACAACAATTGCTGTCTAATGATACAGTGTGTGTTGCTGAGGAAGTATACAGAGATGTGATAGCATTTAAGAGGTGGATTTGACCTCGTGTAGGGGCTCAGGACGAGCTTTCCTGACGCAGCGATGCAGCGTTGGGGATGTGAACGATGAATAGGGTTCAGTAGGTGAGGCTGAGGGGGAAAGACTAGTGGAGGGAAATAGAACAGAACTCGAGAGCGCCCAGAAGAAAATCTGGCCGGCTACAGAGCGGAGGACGAGGAGGAGATGGGACTAGGTGAGTATGAGGAAATGGAAACAGCAGTAAAGCTCCTGGACCATAAGGGATCGGAATAGGCCGGAAAAGGCGGAGAGATGCGGCGCTACCTAGAAACTGCAAGTCCCAGAAAGCATCTGGCAGGCGGATGTGAGGTAAGGCGCGAGCCGCGACCTTTGAAGGAAGAAAGGAAGTGCTTCGGCGTCGCAGAGCCGGAGAAGCGGGGTAAGGTAGGCAGGGGCGCGGCGCGGGAGGGGCGACCGGGCCGCCGGCGGGCCGGAATCGCAGAGTGCCGCGGGGTTCCGTGTCGTCATAAGGCGGCGGCCATTTTCGCGGGCGGAGGCGTCCCGGGCGGGGGCTCGGAGAGCGGGGACGAGAGGGCTTGAGGCGGCCGGGCGGCCTCGGCCACCCGGTAATCGCATCCTTTCCCGGTGTCTCGTCTGCAGAGGGAGCAGTATGTCCGCGGAAGTCCCCGAGGCAGCCTCAGCGGAGGAACAGAAGGTGGGTGTGCGCGGGGAGCGGGCCCGGGAGGTCTCCAGCCGCTCCCACCGGGGACCGGGCCTGGCGGCCGGCCTGCTCCCGCCCCGTGCGGAGGGGCGCGCCCGGGCCCAGCCCGCGGCGCCTGGTGCAGAGGGGGTTGTGCCAATGCGCCTCGGCTGTGAAGGCGGACAGAACCCTCCGGAATCGGGCTGCCCGCAGGAACTCTGGCAATTAACGCCAGCGTGGTGCGAGTTTGAACCTTCTCCACGTCTTTCCTGGAACGTGCCTATTGTAACGCCTCGGTGTGCCGCGCGTTTTTCCTTCATCATTTTAATATACATAAGAGCCCAGGACTCAGTCCTTACGCGTGGAACCTAAGTTTTTCCGTGGCTACACTTCGCTTAGGAAATTTTATTTTGTCCTTGAAAAACTAACTCCGCTATTGTCTGCGTACTGTTAACTCCAAAGGAGGTCTCTGGTGTTCGGCCGGACCTGGGTTGGAATTCCAGTTCCAATTCCTCTTAGCCGTGTAATCTTAGTTACTAAACTCTTTAGGCTTCAATCTCCTAATCTGTAAAATAAGAATAACAGTACTTGCTTCATATGGTGGTTATGAGGCTTATGAGGTGGGTGATTTACAGTATTTAGCGCCTTGTGTGCTCAAAAAATGTGAGCCAGTGGGACTTGCATATGATAATTGACTAAAAATCTGAGGATGGGAATATAAAATTTTTTACCAGTTTAGTGGATCAGGTTTTTCATGGAAACGGTAATATTTTGTAATTCACTTTAAATATCTTTGTGATGTAGGGAAATATGCCACGAATCGATGTGATTCAAATTACAGATATAAAGGCTTTGTATTTTATCTAGGCTAGTGCTAGCCCCTTCCACCATAATTATTTCTGTTGCCCTGCCCTCCAGGGTACTTGGGGCTGGCCCACAAAGGTCCATGATATCTTGTTTCTTAAATTGTTTATGGAGATTTACCAACACGTCCTTTAAAAAATCAGACTGCATATCATAAATAGTATTTGGTCTAATGCTTGTACTTATGCCACCATGCCCTTCATCAGGTTGGAAATTTGATTAGTGTTCTAAACTTGTTCCATATGTTCTTAACCGTGTTAACTCCAATTGGGTTGGATGGTTCTATTGTAATATTACTTGTAAAGCAACTGGAGAAAAACAAGAAAACAGCAATAGCGTAAGTAATAGGCCAAGTTACCACATTATTTGGGAATATTTCAGTGAAAACAATGTTGGGTATTTTTCACACTTTGTAAAATAATGGACTTTTGGGGTAAAAAAAAATACAATTTAAGGATTAAAAACTTTATAGTAATATTAAATATCATTTATTTATTGTAAAATATTTACCATGATATTCATTATTGCTTGGGATTTAGGAACCCAGAAAAATGAACTCATGTCTTTGCTGTCTTGTCCTAAACACTAAAATCAACCTCAGTTTTGACTTCTGATGTACAGTAGCTATATAATTTTTCCAATGAGATTTGTTAGTATGTTGCCAAGTATAGTGTTGATTTCTACAGTATAAACGCTTGGAACAGCCTAATATTATGTCTCAACAATATTAAGGATATCTTGAATATTTTCTCTTCATGAATGTCTACATTAAAAATTTATTTCAGGTCCTTTGGTTTTAGATGCTGTCATTAATACCAAAGAGTGTTAATAATGTAATGTCCCTTCTTGAATTAAAGATTGGCTGTAGATGTTGAGTGCCTGTAGCATGGATACCATCCCTAAACATGAGGGAAATGTGCAGAGTCACTTCTGTGTTCCTATCAGCCAAATCACCTGTTTTTTCTATTTGGAAGAATGGTGAGATGACCTAAAAAATTGGATTATTGTCTTTGTACCCAGTTTACCTTTCAATTAAAGTCAAAGTATTTATATTTAGCTAAAATACCTTTACAGTTTCATGGTACATTAGCTTCTTGCCTCTGAAAAATTAAGGTAAAGAGATGAGCTCTGCATAGAGTAAGAGCTAGATCACTATTGCTCTACCTGAGTAATATGTGCACCTTTGTTAAGAGAGAAAAACTGTATAGACCACTGTTTTTTATTGGGATGTTAATTAAATATATGTAAACTTAAAGATAAGTATAAACTATTTTTATAGACTCTAAAATTAAAAAAATCAAATACAAAACCAGTCTAAATTATTAATTCAGAGTAACATGGTATTTTGGTGAAAATTTCCAGTGTGTTGAGAATATGGTAGCAATCAGTAAAGGGCAGGAGCTTTTTTAATATGGCAGGTTAACACTCCCCAAGACCATATGATGACTCAGTTTTCCTTTTTATAAGTAAGCTGCATGTTCATTTAACTGTCGAGTCATAGATACGATGTCTGACAATTAAGATCACGAACTCATCCTAGAAAAAGTGCTGCATACCTCATTGCTGAATACAACTATGGTCACCCTCGAAGTTCTCCCCTTGGGAAGCCATGCACCGATGCCAGTGCCTAGTCCAACCTCAAAGCATTTTGGAACTTTTTCTGAAATAGCCATAGCCATCAGAGAGCTGTTGTCGTATGACCCTTGATGTCCTGAATGTCATCAAAATGTCTTCTTTTTAATATTTCCTTTATCTTCGGGTAAAGAAAGAAGTCATTGGGGGCCAGATCAGGTGAGTAGCGTGGGTGTTCCAATAGTTATTTGTTTACTGGCTAAAAACTCCCCCTTATGAGCTGGTGCATTGTTGTGATGCAAGAGCCATGAATTGTTGGCGAAAAGTTCAGGTCATTAACTTTTCACGCAGCCTTTTCAACACTCCCAAATAGTAAACTTGGTTAACTGTTTGTGCAGTTGGTGCAAATTCATAATGAATAACCTTTCTGATATCAAAAAAGGTTAGCAACAGTGTTGCAACAAGTTCATGAACTTAATTGTCCAACCTCGTACATTGTTTATTGTAATTGAGGTCTGTTCTTTTCTCATCCTGGACTATAGGAATAATACTGCTGAGTCTGTCATCATAAATTAAAGCTCAGACAAGGAAGTCGCATAACACTACTTAGATATGAGATGGCAATTCAGATGCCCTAGTATATGCTTATATTTTTCTTTTAAATTATCACTGAAGTTGAAACAAAACATTACAAAAATTTTAGTAAAGGCCTCATGGATCTATCATCTGAATTCCACTTTGAATACCACTAAGTTAAGACAGGCATGCACTTTGGTCCTGGGGGTGAGAGGAGGCTTGCAGAGATTTAAAATACATAATTCTGTCTTCATTGGGAGCATCTTAAGTTCAGGGACCCTTTTTTAATTAAAATTTATTGGGGCGACAATGGTTAGTAAAATTAAATAGGTTTCAAAGTGTACAATTCTATAATACATCATCTGTATATCACATTGTATGTTCATCACCCAGAGTCAGTTCTCCTTCTGTCACTATATATTTGACCCCATTTACCCTCTTCTGCCATTCCCCCTCCCCCTTTATCCTCTGGTAAGCACTAAATTATTGTCTGTGTCTATGCATTTGTGTTCATTTGTTCGTTGTTCCTTTGTTGCTTTCAGATTTATATCCCACATGTCAGCGAAATCATATGGTTCTCCAGAGATCCTTCTTTATCTTTTCTCTCATAGTAGCATAATACCTGACATTATTCAGGAAATGTTGGTTGAATGAACTTTTCTCAGAACTTTTCAGTTGAAACTATTGCCAGAGTACTATTCCAATACAAAGGCAATGCTAGTACTGTTTAAAAAAGAGAGAGGGATACCATGGTGATATAGAAACCTTAGCTTAGACCCACTTAAAAGTATGAATGAAAAAGGAATGGAAAGGGAAGGGGATTAAGAAGTATATAAAATAAGTTATGGGGATGTAATGTACAGCATAGTCAATATTGTAATAACTGTACAATGACAGATGGTTACAAGACTTATTGTGATCACTTTGTTAGGTATACAAAAGTTGAATCAGTATGTTGTGCTCCTGAAGCTAATAAAATACTGTATGTTGAATACAATTAAAAATAAATTTTAGGGCCAGCCGAGTGATTCAGTTGGTTAAGAGTTGGCTTAAGAGTGCAAGCTCTGAGCAACAGGGCCACCAGTTCGATTCCCACATGGGCCAGTGATGCTGTGCCCGCGCTAAGCTGCTGCTGAGCTGCTAACAGGTGGCAGGATGGCTCAGCTGGTGTAGCAACAAGATTGCCTGTTTGATGGTGGGCTCTGCCTACACACAACTAAGACTGAACTCGGCACCTTGAGCTGAGCTACCGCCTGGACGGCTCAGTGGATAGAGTGTGCACTCTTAACAAGGCTGCCGGTTCGACTCCCGCATGGGATGGTGGCTACACCCACCCACAACTAAGACTGAACACAGCACCTTGAGCTTAGAGGCCACAAGCTGCCGATGGGCAGCCTAATGGCGACTGGCGCCCTCCACAATGAAGATTGAAGAACAGCAACTTGGCTGGTCCCCTCCCCAATTCCCCAATAAAAATCTTAAAAAAAAACAAAAAACTTTTTTAAAAAGTAGAGGGATGTGTATATACAGAAGGTGCCAAAAAAATGCATGCACGTTTTAAGAAAGGAAAACTATTAAAATTATAATACTCAATATATACCGATAACAAAAGATGAATACAGGTAATGTTTGACTTCTGCAATTACAAGAGGTGCTCAAAGTGGTTACCATCAGCGTCCAGACACTTGTGATTATGGCGAGCTACTGCTTGAGCAACGTCCACTTGTATACATTTTTTGGCACCCCAATATATTGTGACTTTTAAACTTAAAAGAAGTTCTCAATAGAAGGTTTCCTAAAGATTGTATTACAGGATTCATCAAATTAAGTTAGTAAGATGTGGAGGATGCTAACTCAAGTAGAGCTCTCAAATATTTGTCAGTTTAAAAGATGCGTGGTGCTTTTTTTTAGTGATGGAAGAAGAGGAAGAGAATTATTATTTAAATTAATTCCATGCATCATCAGTAAAGAGTGGATATAAATTGATTTCCTATTTTCCCAATTTTTTAAAAAGTGCAGTTAATATTGGCATTTTCTGGGGCTGTTTTGACACTACCTTTGGTAACCAAAAGGCTAAATAGTGCTTACAGTTCAGAGCACAACGTGCTACTTTGGTTTGTGTGCAGCCATTCATTCTTAGCAATCTAGAGGTAAACCTTAGAAGTTTTTAAATGTTTCCTTGCTACCTTAGCAGTTAGGCTTGTCTCTGTTGTTTGTGTAGGACTTTAATACCAACTTCTGTTCGTGAACCTGTAAGGTTCATGTATTTCAAAGATAAGCTAATGGTGAAACTATCAGGTGTTTGTAAAGGTCTAGCTTTATTGAAACAGAGTACATTGTGTTTATTCATTCAGTAGACTTTTTAAAAAGATTTTATTGGGAAATCGGTGGAGGGGATCATACAAGTTGCTGTCCTTTTGTTCTTCAGTCTAGTTGTGGAGGACGTCGCTTGACTGGCCCATGTTGGTATTATCATTGCGCTCTTCCCGGATGAGGCAGTTGCTCGCCCGCCATTGGACGGCCGCTCATGGCGGCTCACAGCAGCTCACAGCAGCTCACGAAAGCTCACGCCAGCTGCCGGCCAGCCCCACTGCAGCCTAGTCCCCAGCAACTCACGGCAGCCCAGCTCCAGGTCGAGCTGTTGTTCACCATCTTAGCTGTAGAAGGTGCAGCATCACTGGCCCTCATGTGGGATCCAAACTAGGGCCCTGCTGCTCAGAGCTGGTGTCCTAAGCCAACTCTTAACCAACGCTCCACTTGGCCTGCCCCATTCAGTAGACTTTTATTGAACATCAATTAAATGCCAGGCACTGGTCAAGAAGCAAGGACTTAAAAGGACTACAGTATATTTCCATAGTGGTTGACAGTATTTGTACCTTCTTGGCAATATCCTAAAGGATTTGTTGGCTTTCATTAATCTTTTCTATTTATTCATCAACCATTGCATCAGTGAACATGTTGCTTAGCAGATGAGAATTTGCTTACAGTGGTTAGGTTTCTGTTGCTGGTGTTGCTGTGTAACTTCTCTGCTGAATGCAGAAAAGTGGTATCAGTCATTCATACTTAATATCAGTCCATGACAGACTACAAAATAATCCTTAATAATGTGATAAAATGTCCTTTTTATATGTATGTATTTATGTCTTATACCCCACCTACTTACAGAAAGGATAGCTAATGTATTTCAATACAATAGTTCACAAAAATGCAAGTTGCCTAACATTAATAAAGGTTAGGCCTTGTGCTAGGTACAGAGTATACAACGAGAAATATTTTGAGGCATAGGTACTTGTCAAGAAGATAAAAGATAAGTATGGTATAAAATATAGTTTAAAATTTTTTTGTATATCATAAGCATATATCTCTGTTACGATATCCTGGGTTTCTGCTTTCCCAGTTTCTAGTCTGTAGTCAAAAGTTCCAGAATTCTAATGATGCTTCTCCTACCCCCTTTGTCCCCCACCCCCACCCCCGAATGTGTTACCACCTAAATGAATCCACTCCAGCATCTATTTCTAAAAAGTAGTAAATTGCTTATAACACAAAGGCTTCTTGGAGAATAAAATTTCAAAACCAGGTTTGAATTTTAGAAAGTAATTCTTGGTTAAGCTTGTCATTTCCCCCCTTTGTTGAGCCTCTCTATTGTATTCTTGTTTTCTGTTTCATTAATTTCTGCTTTTTATTTTCTCCTAATCTCTTTGGGTTCCGTTCTTTGTCTGATTTCTTAAATTAGATACATAGCTCATTAAGTTTTAGGGTTTTTTCCCCCTCTAATATAAGTCCTTCAGGGACATTTGTATCCCAAAAGTTTGTTATTTGTAGAATTTTTATTATCACTGAGTTCTGAGTATTTTTTTTTTATTCACATGATTCCTGTTTTAACTGAATTATTTAGTAATGGGTTCTAATTTCCAAATAGAGATGTGTAAAATTTTTTGTTATTGACTTTTAACCTAATGAATTAGTAATAGATGGTGGTCTAGATGAAAATGATTAAAGCTTGCTTTGTGACCTAGTATTTAGTCAATTTTTCCATTTTTGCATGCATTTCCTAATTGTTGGGTGGAAATTTAAAATCAAGTATCTCAACTACTTTGCCTTTTACCTATCAATAGTTGAGGAGGATGTGTTGAAATCTATGCTAATCGACTTGTTACTTCCTGTAATTCTGTTGATTTTTGCTCTATATATTTTGAGACCTTTCATTTAGAAGCATGAATATTTAGATCTTCTGTATCCTAGTAATACTTTTTTGTCTCAAAGTCTGTGTCATCTGATATTAATATAGGAGCACTAGCTCTATTTCAGTTAGCATTTGCCTGGTATGTTGTTTTTCTATGTTTACTTTCAACTGTGTCCTTATATGTTTAGATTTTCTTTTTTTTGTACTTAGCAAGTGGCTAGATTTTATTTTAAATTCAGCTGCTAGACTTAAATGGACAGTTGAGCAGTCCGTTTATGTTTATTGTGGTTATTGACATAGTGGGATTTCTCCGATCTGTCATTTTGCTTCTCTTTGGCCTTTTTTTTTTTTTTTTCCTTTCTTGCCCTTCTCCCTGTTTGTTTGTTTTTTTTCCAAATTGATTTTCTTCCATTTTACCCCCACTATTAGTTTGGAAGTTACATACTTTTGTTTCTGTTATTTAATTGGTTCCCCTTAAAATTTGATCATGCATCCTTAATTTAAAATTAACATCATAAACCCTTTTCTAAACATTACAGGACTGTAGAACATTTAAACTCTAAAAATACTGTACTGTTATATAGTATTTTTGTTCTGATTTTAACCTCACATATAAAGACATTAATATTAAAAGTGAGTGTGTCAATTATATCACTAAAGCTGGGGGAAAATTTGAAAAGTGACTTATTTGTTCATATACATGCACATATACCAATTTCTTTGTTTGCTTTTTCTTCTATATCTCAAACCTTTTTGGGTATTTATTTTCATTCTAGCTGAAATCAATGTTTAGGATTCCCTTGAAGGGTGTTCAGAAATAAGCAATCACACCAAATTCTGTGTCTCCTTTTGCATTTTTTAAACATGACTGTAGGGCTAAATTGCTTATTTTACCTGAGTTTATCAGTGTCCTGTCTGGAGAACAGAAACCATAATGGGTATTTCAAACAAGAAAGGGCTGTGATTTAGGGAATTAGGTTACAAAGTATTAGAAGAGATAGAAGAGCAAAGGGGGAAGATAATGTTTCCAGAGGTGAGGGATTGCAGAAAGCTGTTGACCCTGCCAGAGAGCACACACACTATTCTGAACCCAGTGTCTTCCACCCCCACGCTCATGTAGCTGCTACAGTATCCCCAGATTATCTGCTCCATGCCCCCCTACAGGAGCTCCTGCTGTCTGCACAGTGTTGGTGGTATCACCAGAAACAGAATGGATTCTTCCTCCCATGTCTTTTAATCTGGTGGAGGTACCATTGGCAAAACCTGATAGGAATTCAGCCTGGGAAATGTAGCTTTAGGTTTGTAACTGTAGTGATTCAGGGAATTGTTTAGAGAAGGGTAACTGAACTTAATGCAAGTGGACACAGTCTGCCACCTGATGTGTTATTTATACTTCACAAGCAAATCTGTAGCTGTGTCGAAACATTGGTGAATGTCCAAGCATTTGAACTTGCTTATCAGAAAGGCCTGGAACTGTCTACGTCTGCAGAAGGTTAGGAATGTTTTCATATGGTCCTTGAAAAGTATTGTGGACATCTTGATGGTATTTACTATGTTTTAAAAAAATGTAGCTTTGGTCATATTTTCCCCTTTTGGTGTTCAGTGCAGCTGAAATTCTGACTCCAGCTATGAAGTTGCATTGAGCAGGGACTTGCCACTGTGCTGTGTATTCGGCAAGAAAGTTCAAGAATTGGTTTGTTTTTCACATTATAAATCCATTCTAAACCTAAATGATATTTTCAGCTGTAGTTGCTGTTTTGCCCCAAACATTTTTCTATAGTAAACTACTTTAATTGAACGTGCTTACTATTTTTATATAAATATATACATAAATGTAGTTCTTAATAAGAAAATGAGGGAATGCCAGATAAGATGGTATATTGTGTACAACTTCCCCTCCCCCCATTTATAAAATGGGGAAAACCTGAAGAAATACTGCAAACTACCCCATACTAGAAATTTTAAGGAATCCCTCTTAGATACAGAGAACTGATAATTCAAGTCAAACGAAGAAGTGGAAAGCCCTCATTTCCTAGGCCTAAGAAAGTTGGGTGGCTTTAGTGGAAATGTAGAACTCAGTTAACACCCTTTAATTTGAAAGTTCTGAGACTGAAAGGCTGTAATCAGGTTGGAGTCCTTCCCTACCCACGTCCAAATTTAATGTCAACCAATTTACTAAACAGCTGTACAGGGGAATTCAAGAGTAGGTCCCTCCTCCCAATTCCACTTTCGAATTGTAGCACTACAGATACCCTGGGGCCATAGTAGATGCTTGAGTGAAGGATGAACCACCTAGAAGAAACTGCAGTGACCCAGCCCACCTCCTACATGAAAGCGGTAACCTTAAATTTATATTATTTCTCCAGCTTCTGTGATCAGTACAGCGTAGTCATTTCTTAATGGGAGTTAGGTTCTAACATTGGTAAGGGCAGATCGCATATAACTAAAATCCCCCTTGAAAAATCCCAGTGAAGTCATGACCATATTATTGGCAACTGCTCAATCAGTTCTCAGGTCAAGTAGTCACTTGGCTGTCTAGTGTTTGAATAGATGTGTGGGCTAATTCTTAATTGTTTGCCAGCTGAGGCAATAAGCTTGTGTTGTAGGGGCTGAGTTTTTCAATACTAGAATGATAGACAGTACATTGATATGCTTAAATTCTGAAAAATACCCAGGAATTGAGACTTATCATGGGAATGGCAAGTTTGGATCACACACCTCACACTTGAGCTCTCTGGGTCAGCTCCTTCCTGAATGGAATGACTGGCAGAATCACTGATGCTCTTTAGGTCTCTGTCTCTGGCTGAGCACACATGGTTGAATTTCTTGTGAATGATGTGACCACTGTAAAGACAGCAAATCAAAATAGATGCGTGACATTGCAGCATAAAAGGAGGAAGGTAGTTGAACACTTGAAGCAGAAGAGACCATATACATAAAGAAGCCCCATAAAAAGCCCCATGGAGCAAGCCTATTTGACAGTAGCAGCTTTAGTCTCAAAATCCTTTACGACTAAAAATGAGATGTGTAACAACACATGAGGAAGTTGTTCAAGGTGGAGATATTGACTATATATGGTGAATGACACTGATTATAACACAATGTATGAATATAATTTTGAGGAAAATGCATATATGCAAAACTTGTATGAAGTTTCTTCATTTTCTAGATAAATGATTTATTTGCTATACAAGAACATTAGGCTTGGCATTTATGTATTTAACATTATTGCTTTTTGACTATTCATTAAAAACCTGGGAGAATTGAGATATGCAGAGGTGTGTCATTTTGCTGAGCTGATATACGGAAATGAGTTCATTAGCTAGAAAGTGCACTTGGCCATTTCCCGGCCTCCCCTATCAGGGCGACTGTTTTTTCTTGATTCAGTCTTCTGCAGTACTTGTCATAAAGCAATAAATGCAGCTTCCCTATCAAATTTAGCTCTTGGGAAGAAAGTAGACAAGTGAATAGCCTTAGGATATTGACAGCCCTTGGTTAGAAAACAGTTTTGATACATTAAAGATAGAATCTTTAGCATGAAGAAGATTATTAAATATAGGGGATAATTAGGTAATAATATACAGATGTGAAGATTGATGGTGTTTTTCTCCTTTACAAATAGCAAGGTCTTCTGTATTGAGTTATTCAGGGAAAATGTGCTGGTAAGTAAGCTGCTGTTGATTTTTATTAAAGAATCTCAGCTTCCAATTATGCATGATTTTGGATAAAATAGGTAATCAAAAAGACCTTTAGTATTTTAACTGTATTAAGATGACTCTCTAAATATAGACAAAGAGCTGATGAGTTCCATAGAAGGTGACTAACTATAAATGTATTATACATGACTAGAAAGTAATGGCAAGCAAGACTTGAGAGCTGAGCTATCTTGATATTTTTATCCAGTGTGTGGGGTGTTACACATGCATCACAGCTATAATAGAACTATCACATGGATCGCTGGAAAAACAAGATAGAGATGTTTTAAAAGCTCCTGTGCTCAATTTCTTAGATGCTGCATTATATGGCATTTGACGACTAAAGCCAGAATCCAGATATTAAAAGGCAAATTATTTTAAATAACTGAATTGTAATAGAGAAGTAATTTATTTAAAATTATTTCAGGAAATGGAAGATAAAGTGACTAGTCCAGAGAAAGCTGAAGAAGCAAAATTGAGAGCAAGGTATCCACATCTGGGACAAAAGCCCGGAGGTTCCGATTTCTTAAGGAAACGATTGCAGAAAGGGGTAAGTTCTCATGTGTAACCTTCAAATCCTTAAGCTCTAGGAACTCAGTGTGCCAATAGAAATTGTGAAAATGGGTATCTGCGTATATAGCTCTGTACCTTACTAGATTAATATATAGAACGTTTTTTCCCAAAAATTTAGACTGTCATTCTATAAAGATGTATAATAAGAATCAATTCTTTATCACTTTTAACTGTAAAGTATTTTGAGCATGTAGAAAGGTGCAGATAATAATATAACAGAACCCATGTGCCCACCACCCAGATTTTTAATATGTTTAAATATTTTGCCACATTTACTTAAGTTTTATCTTTGTCAGAAATAAAATGTAGATATAGTTGAAACCTACATGTATATATAGTATATATATTAGCACCTTTCTTCATTCTTCCCAAAAGCTACCATCCAGAAGCTAGTATTTATTCTTCTGTCTATATATTTTTTTAACTTTTAGCTGCTTTAAAGGTGATTTCCATACAATATCCAAAGGTTTAAAATACTTTTTATTTGGACTAAATCACTTATAAAAGCATAGCTTACTATCTCCTTTACATAATACATTTCACAGAGTTACTCTGATATACAATTTATACATTGTAATTTTAGTAGTTTAAATTACTAAAAACATTTTCCAAATGTTGCCATACTTTGTGAGGTAGAAACCATTATTTTTCAATAATAAGATCTGAATTCAGATAATGTTACATTGTTCTTAGGTTTTTCTTTTGTACCCCCTTCTTTGTTTATAAAAAAAATTAAGGGCTCCATCTTCAGTTTAAGCACATTTAAATTATTATACAGAGAGCAGGGAAGGATGAAATACTGTTTATGGAAGAGAATTGTTTATTGAATCAGAGGCCAAGTCATGTTTTTACTTAAATGAATACCTTAAATATACTGGTAACTGCAGCTTGCTTACAAAAACATGTCTGTGTGTATGTGTGTTTATATTAGCTATAGTTATATATGGATTATTTTCTCAAACCAAATTCCAAAAGGATGTTTTTTCCAGCTCTATTGTCATATAATATTGTGTAAGTTGAAGTATACAATGAGATGATTTGATCCCGTATATGTTGTGAAATGATTACCACAATAAAGTTAGTAACACACCCTTTACCTCACACAGTTACCATTTTGTTGATATGGTGAGAACATCGAAGCCCTACTCTTTATTAGCAGCTTTCAAGTGTTCAGCCGAGTATTGTTAACTATAGCCACATTGCTGCATGTTAGAGCCCTGGAACTTATAAGTCCAGGTACCCTTTGACCAGCATCTCTCTATTTTCCACACCCCATAGCCCCTGGCAACCACAATTCTACTCTGTTTCTATGAGTTTGATATTTTTAGATTCCATATATAAGTGAAATTATATACTATTTATCTTTCTATCAAACGAATATTTTAACAAATTATTTTTTAAAGTGGCAAAATATAGAATGGCATTTTTATCTTACATAAAATAATAACACAGCTTTGAAATAATAGGATGACAAGGAAGAATTATACCAAATACATAAAAATGTAAAACCTCTGTTACATGAGAATGATTTACTGAGGAAATTATTACAACAATGATAGTTAATATCTATAATACACAAAAGGATCTTTCAAATATACAAGAAAAACATTAATGACACCCCCCTAAAGGATTTTAACAGGAAATATAGATATTAAACACACAGAAAAATATCCATGATAGAAATCAATGAAATGTAAACAGAACCAATCATGCCATAGTATACATCCAACTAAATTAGAAAATATTTAAATGCCCATTGATGAGGTTGAAGTTGAACGTTGCTAATACACTCTTTGCTTTGTGTAGCATTTAAAATTATTGCTATTGCTTTGGAAAGGGGTTTTGGTTAAGATTTATAAAAATGTTCATATTCTTATGAATTGATCTAAGGGTATAATTCAATATAAGGAAAAAGTCTTTAAGTTCGAAGGTACTTTTTATAGCTTTAACTATAATTAGAAGCAGCACTACTATTCAAGAGCAGAGAAATAAATTGTGATAAGTCAACAAATGGTATCCTGGTATTGGTGTTGTAGGTATAAATAGTTGCAAATGAGAAAAGGCCACGGAATCAAGAAATACACAGAATTGGAGACGGCATCTCAAATTACTGTATATTATACCAGGATGTTAATGAATAAATACTTTATATTATGGAAATGAAGTCCTAATATTCAACCATATCATTTCCTCTGATAAAAGATTTTTTTTTAAGAAGCCTGAATCACAGAGTCCTGCGTTTTAGTTTTCTTCTGTCATAATAGCAAGCTGACACATTGCACTGTTTCTTTAAGTAGTTTCTTCTTCATTTGAGAGGATTGGTTAGGTATTATTTATATTAGGTCCCATTCTGTTTGATTGTACTTGTTAATGTTATGAGATGCCCAGGATTGACTCCTATTTTAGGCTTTTAAATATAACGTGTACATAGTGAGTATATAGACTGTCAGAGCGGGGAGCGATATCAAGAAGTAGTGTTCTGGCCCATGTTCTGTTTGTTTTTTCATATTTGTGGAGTTTGTGAAGTCCCAAGAAAACTGAGGATCCAATTTTAAGAAACATGGTCTTAAAAGTTAAACATTGTCAATTTCGCTGATCACTTAGTGTCGGTGCAATGCTAAATACTGATGTAAATGTAGCCCCTGAATTTGGGTGAGAGGAGGATTTGTAAGATTGTCATCCAGATGATCCAGATAGTTTTGTTAATTTTAAAGATTTTCACTTAGCATAAAATTTAAAAATTGTTAAAAACAACTAATACTGCCTTCTTAGACTGTATCTGTCCCAGTATGAGAAACATTGATCTAGTTCACTCTTCTACCTAGGGCAGTTAAAATTGTAAGCATTGATTTTAGTTTTGTCTGTAGCTACACAAAATAAATTTAATTCCTTTTCCCCAAGCAGAGTAGCCTTAATCTACAGTTAAGTGAGAAGCCCTTACGATGAACTTGTGCTTACTATAGAATAACTATCATTACAAACTGACTTCATTATGTTGGGACAATCTGCCTAAATTTTGCACTGTGTTAAATACCTCATTTTGTGTTTTTGACTCTGTAAAAAATTTGGCAGGCTGCTTTGTTCTCCTCTAGAGGCTACTAAACTTCAGAAGTAGCTCTCTGCTATAAAATAGTTTGTAAGAAGTTCTGAGATATTTTTTCACTACACTTATTTTAAAATGTACAGAAATGAAGCTGCAGCAAGCCTTAGAAGGGTCTGGTCCACATTTCCTTGTTACTGCTCAGTGTGTTACATGTATCACGGTGACACATGAAAAGTGATGTCTTACTTTAGACCCTTTGGCCTTAGAAGCAGCAGATCTGGCTTATCAAAGAGGCAGCCAGTGAGACCTTTTCCCAGGCCATTCAACAACCTCATACTAAGCTGTGAGTTCTCATCTACTTCATTTACCACATGAGGCATCCCTGAAGTCTCAGAATATTTATATATTTTTTCCCCTCACGCTTTGTCCAGGCCCTCATCTCATACCTGTATTATTCCTTCTTGCCTACCCTAGACTGAGGTTAGTTAGGTTTCCCTCTTTAGAGCACCCCTACCTCCTTGAGTAATTAAAGCAGTATAATAGCTGATTTACTTGGCTATTGTCCATCTCTCCCCCAGACTCACACAGTGCTTCATTATAGCAGGCGCTCAATAAAGGGAGACTAAACCTGATAGGTAAAGTTGGAACCCAGGCAAGTTCATCTGGTTTCACTCAGATAACGCAACGTAGCTTACCATATTAAGGTTGATCTTTAGCTTTCATTACAATTTCTGTTTTAGTGATCATTATTGCCTTATTCATCCCTCAAACTAAAAAGAGCAATAATTGTACTTATTCAACGTCTTAAATGAAAAATGGAGGTGTAGGATAGAGTTGTGCATTTTAAGTGATGGTTAGTTTCTAATGAGTGTATTTCTTCTGTTACCCTAGCCTTTATATTTTAACCTTAATTTTGATTTTAGTGAATTGCTCTGGTTCAAGTAAATGATTTAAGTCCTCGCAGAAATGCTTGTCTTAGATGACAGTACCAACAAGTGTAAATAATAGTTTTAATAAGTAACTATAAGGTTGATTGAAAGCAGGTGGCACATTATAAATGCAAGTTGGTGAATTGTGTATTTTTATTTTCAAAATCATTTAAGCAAGAATGTCAGCCTGCTTTTTCTGTTAGTAAATGCAAGTTTAGCATTTCACTCTTTAAGTCCAGGACTGTTTGTTCTCAGATGGATTGATGAGGAAGCTGATGTCAATCTTAAGGGCTCCATACTGAAGCCAGAATGATACAAATAAGCCTGAAGAGGAGGGGGTTCTTGCCTGACTTCTCAATGTTGGCTTATGCTGGAACTCACTACAGAAACATAGCTTTTATCTAATGTTTTTGTTTAAATTTCGTTAGACTAACTTATTTTGTACTGACAATATAAGGTCACATCTACATCTTAAGCCATTGTAATTGCATATGAAAGCCTTTTAAACTCTCACCTGAATTATTATTATTATTTTTTATCCTTGTAGCAAAAATATTTTGATTCTGGGGATTACAACATGGCTAAAGCAAAAATGAAGAACAAGCAACTTCCTACTGCAGCCCCGGATAAGACAGAGGTCACTGGTGACCACATTCCCACTCCACAGGACCTTCCTCAACGGAAACCATCCCTTGTTGCTAGCAAGCTGGCTGGCTGATTAAAAGAGCTGAACTGCATGAATCTTCTAATTTCCATTATTTTTCCTTCATATGTTACTTCCCCGCTTTTTATTTCCTTTCATTCACTAAGTCATTTGAGAGTGACAGCTTTGCAGGTAGCGGTAGTGTGTGCTGCTATTGTAAGGGAAGATACATGTGTAGAGTTTTTGATTAGTTTTACAGTGCACTGATGAAAACATGTTAGAGCAACATAAAGTAATTTACTTGAAAATAATTGTATATATTACCTAACTCCTTAGTGTAGGACTGGTCCTAACAACTACCAAGCAAGTTTTACAATTTTAATGTTTTGGCTTTAATTCATCTTAATTATAGCTTTGTGTGTTACTCTTATTTAATATAACCTCTACTATATTGATTTCTTCTGTGTTTTCCTTTTGGATTTTATAAAACAGAAGTTTAAGACCACAAGTTGGAAGAAAGGTCACATATTTCAAACACAAATAGATCGGGCTCCAAAAGATTTGTATTTCTGTGCTTGAACTTGAATGGCCTTAAACCTGTTTCAGCTTTAACAATAGAAGTTTACTTGGGCAATATTTGCCCGTTCTGGTGTAACTTATGTGACCCTATTGCTTAACAGCTGCCCTTGACGCTAACATTCTTACACAGTTCTATAGTTAGAATACCTTTTGTTGTTAATGATGTGAATGAAGTATGCATGTGCATCGACTGTTGAATTCACTTTTGTGCCATTTTTGTAAATACAATAGTTTTGCACAACCTCTCACAAATGTCTGTATTAATTTCACATATTAAAAAGTAGATGATGTGCCAACCAGAAGCACAAACATTCATACACAGAACTGTATGTCATTAGAGCTTTTGTATAGTAAGAGTAGTTTACAGTCTTGGGCGTATAGAATACCAAACTGAAATCTTTGCTCAGTCTGCCATAGACTTAAGCTTTTTCATTTGTTACTAATATCCATGACATTCAGTGGCCTTGTGCAAATATGATATGTTGCTTAGGCATATCTTTTGTCCTATGCAGAACGTTTCATTTTGACTTTTATGAAAATTGCAATTCATGTAATTTATATAAACTTTTTAAATGTAGAAACTTTTTACTTCCACAGTCAGTTTTGGGGACACTAGAATAAAAGGCTTCAATATTCAATACTCTGCCTCCTGTGGCCCCTCCCTCCTTATTTTCTTGCTGCTTTGACTCAAATCACGTTGGGCTGTGCTGTTCAGTCTATTCAGAAGCATTGGTGTCTGTGTCCTTACTCTTGAAATTTGCTGTGCTGAGTGCTGTATTTTATAACATACTAAGGATGTTTTCCTTATAATTTCTCAGTTATTAACCATTCGTAATCTTGTATTACTAATATTTTACAATTATTTAAATAAAATGAACTTTATAATGAAACAAATACTTGAGAAGACTGGCCCAAGAACCATGTCAGGATGAGCTAAATTCTGGTAAATAATTTTAAGTAATTATGATGAGCTAAGTGAATTAGGCTTGTGACAATTAGAATAATTTACGTAAGTGGAACATTCATATTAAAATATTTAGATATTTTGCTTCTATAGATGTCATGTGAATAAAATAGCAATTTAATTTTACTTGTTTTTTAATCTAGTTAGTAAGAACTTGAACATGCTTTATTGGGACAAATTTACCGCTCTCTTAGGAGCTCTTCCCATAAGATGTTGTGATGCTGTAGCATGATAATGAGGATCAATAATCTGAGATGATATTGTTTTTCTCTTCATCTTTGACTTGCACAGGGCCTCCCTTCTTTTGGATCCAAGCATCTTTTCTGGATCTTGGCTCTATTTGTATACCTGCTTTCCTATGACCCAAATCATCATAGATGGTGCCTTGAACATAGCACCTGCACTTAAAGATTGCCTAATGCTCTGAGGAAAGCTTGCTGATTATCTTTCTGTTCCACCTGCCCCAAAAAGCAGAAAAGCAACAATATCAGTAATGTGCTAATTTGTAATGTTAAGAATCAGTTATGTAGATATAGTTGTGATAGGAGCAAGTAGGTTATTCCACAATATGTATAATCATTGCAGGATTGATTTAAGAATTACAAAATACCCCAAAGTAGAATTTTCTGTAATATCTAGTCTTTTATAATGAATATTTGCAAGCGATCACCATTAAATCTACACATCAGAGAAGATGAATCTGAAAGAGAAATCATGTTATTCTTGACCACGATAGGACTCCTGCTGTGGTTTGCATCAAGTGATGTAACCTCAGCCTGAGTTTTAGTTTGTGAAATACAATGCTAATATTTAACCTACCTCAAAACTTGTTGAGGATCTGTGAAATACTGAGTAAGTGCCCAAAATAGAATATTGTTGATTGTCTTTTTATTAAAGGTAAATTTCCTCATTAAACCAATCTGCCTTCTATAAAGTTACAGTGCTTAAAATCTCAGGATTTTTCCATTAGGAAAGACCTGTCATTAAGGATTTGTAGGTGTAATTGCTTAGCCTCCATTATTGGTGCTTGGGTTAGAGAGGCTTTAAATTTTTATATTTTTTGTTCTGCCTCAAAGCTCAGCTTATCGAAGTCACATTTGCAGGCTGTTTGACCATTGCTGAAATGATTTTGGCTAGGTGGCTCAATCGTAATCGTCCATTTTTATGATTTCAGAGTTGTGATTTTGAGAAATGACTAATTTTAATCATTGTCCTGTTTGTTATAAATGAAAGCTGAAGTAAACCGAAGTTGGAGATAAATACTTCATGAAAATTGGCTAACATCTGAAATAACCTGTTTCATGTCTAGTAGCTCCTACTCGATAGTACAGTTTAAAGAAACATTTTTGAAAACTACAGCTGACTAAAATAGTTATAGTTCTTGGCATGTTGGGAAAGTAAGGATTCTTAGATTGTTTTGATACACTGGAAGGAGCATGTTTGCAGTCTATTTACAAATTATTCAATCCTCTTGTGCTGCTGACTTAAAAATAGGTCTTAACTATTCATCAAGGCAGGCCTAGTAAGGCTTCCACTTGTTACTACAACAGTTGGAATTAATTGCTGTTTTACTTGATGTAATAGGATTATACCTCTAAATATTTATTGATACTTTTTACTAAATCAGACATGTATTCTTTCTCAATCCAAATTAGTTTTATCAGAGCTGAAATGTAATCTCCACTTAAATTGTGGTCTAAACTTGGTGTTTGGTGATCCAGGGGCAGGTAGCCTGTAGAAAGAGCACATCTGAGTGGCAACTAAAGCAGTTTTTCTGGTGGCCTTTTCACATTCCCCAACATTCAAACACATTTTCACTCCTAATTTTCCTTATTCATTACGCTAATTCCAAAACCAGACATACACACTACAAAAAAAAAAAATTATTCCCCCATCCTGGCTTTTTTAAGCCCCTGATGGCATTCATTAAATAGTGTGTAGGACTGATGAATTATCTATCAATATTCTTCCCAATATGTTACAATTTAAGGACACATTTTTCATTCTCTAAAACACTATCCTAATCTGGATAATGACTAATTTGAGCCACTGTCCCAACTCTGCAACTCAGCATACACTGCCAGTCTTCCCCCACCACACCTTGTAAAATCGAGATAAAAAAAATTGCTTTCTGGGATTGTTAATCTAAGAATAAAAACACTGATTTTAATATCGTTTTGCGTGTTTCAGCCTTTTTAATTGTGTAGGCCTGTGGGTTTTATTCTGGAGATCACTGGTGGTCATGACAGCCATTAATGTGTGTTTGTATTATGTTGTTTATCAACTAAATAGCATTTGAAAGAAAACATCTAATTTCTTTAATATGCCCTCAAATCTGTTACCACATATCATTTGTGATGCAGTAGGACACTTCGCCTGTATTAAAAGGGCCAAGAGTAAATGCCTTTTTTGTTGAACATGTCTATATAGAGTTGGCAGTTAATGCTGAAATTTGTCAAATAGCCCTTCCAGAATTATACTTGTGAAATACACAGAAAAATAAATTGATCTACTTACTTAATTTGTATTGATTTAATTTGCAGTTTTTTTATTTGAATGTTATATTGTTTTTTTCAGAATATTTTGTGAAGTTGATCCCTTCAGATTTCAGCTACTACTATGTGCAGGAGGAATTTGACTTTTGTAGTCTTCAGTTTTGTTTTGTGTGTTAATGAGATCTTAGCAGTTAACTTATATTTGTAAAGGCTTTGTGATTTCGGTAACATTAAACGTATGCAGATTGTATGTCGTCTCCATGACATGATAAGACACTAATACAGTACTGTCAGAAATAGAAAGATGGATGAAACAAGAAGCTTACATTCTGAGAAATATAATATACCGAGGGTGCCAAAAAACTGTATACAAGTGGGAAATTTGGTCAGCATTGCTCAAGCAGTAGTTTGCCGTAATCAGAAGTGTCTGGACTCTGATAGTAACCACTTTGAGCACCTCTTGTACTTACAGAAGTCAAACATGACTTGTGGTCATCTCATTATTGGTTTATATTGAGTACAATTTTAATAGTTTTCCTTAAAATGCGTATACATTTTTTTGGCACTCTGTATACGAGTATAACCATGCAGCATGGACTGCCCCTTCCTCTACCCTCTTTGGGTACCTGTTTCAGTGAGCTCTCGCAGGCCAGGAACCAGATTTCATTCATCTCTATTACCTTAACTGCTGGTACATAATAGGCCCTCAATAAATTTTTTAATTTGAATAAAGCAATGACCAAGCACCCTACTACAATTGCTGATCTCCCACATTCTCTGTTTAGCTTCACCATTGCAGTTATGGGTTAAATTCCCCGCCATCCACCCCCCCCCAAAGATGTTGAAGTCATAACTCCCAGTACCTGTGAATAAGACCTTATTTGAAAATACAGTCTTTGCAGATACAGTTAATTAAGATGAGGTCATTGGGGTGGGCCCTAATCCAATATGACTGTCCTTATAAAATGGGTAAATTTGGACTCAGAGACATGCACACACACAGAACACCATATGAAGATTAAGACAGAGACTGGGGTGATGAAGTAGAAGCCAATGAATGCCAAAGATGGCTAGCAAACTACTGGGACGCAGGAGAGGCATAGAACAGATTTTCCCTCCCAGTTCCCAGAAGGCACCTACCCTGTCAGCAGCTTGGTCTGGGACTTATAGCTTCCAGCTCATACAGTATGTTAACTTTATGCCACCCAGTCTGTGGTACTTTATTCGGCAGTCCTAGCAAACTAATACAATGGTCACCTTTAGCGTCTACCTTTCTAGTTGTCTCCCTGGCTAGAATGTAAGCTCCATGAGGTAAGGCATTTTATCTGTTTTGTTCACTCATGAGTCCTCAGCATGTAGAACAGTCTGGGGTACATCATAGGCCTCAATATTAAAAAAAGTCATGTCCACGAATGTTTTGGAGGAGAGGGATTTTTCATATTAACTTGGACATTGTTTTTATTTGGAAATAACTTACATGAAAATGTTCCCAATTATAAAGCAATAATTGAGGTCTTAGCAATTTAAAATAAATCTACAATGTCCTCTGGCTCCTCTTTGGGAAGGGGAATCCTATCCCCTCAGAAGTTGTGACTTGCCGGTTTATTGCTGGTTGACTAATGACAAAGTGCTTGGGACTGTGACTATATATGGGTAAGGTAGGGGAGGTCAGCCATCAAGGCTCCTTGTTGCTTCTTCTGGCTTGTAAATCTATTCTGAATGATGCAAGGTCAAGAGTAGAAAACCCTTCCCTTCCTCATCCCCACTACCTTCCTCCAACTAGGGCCTCAAATATTGGAGTGGTTGAATGCATGTATTCAGGAATTAAAAGAGAATAATTCTCATTTCTTTCCCCCCCTGTCATTTAAAAGGAAAAAAAAAATCTAGAAGACCAATTTTTTAGTGTTTTCTCAGTGTAGGGGAAGAAAGTTTTTCCTCTGCTGTCAATATCCTTGGCAGGGTCTGGAAATTAAACTAACAAATACAAATTATCAGAAGAAAGGCATACAAATTTAAGTTTTACGCAACATGAGAGTGCATAAGGAAATGAAAATCCAAAGAAATGGCAAAACTTACTTGCTTTTATAGTTGGTTGAGCAAAGAGAAGCAATTGTGGAAAAGTGACTAAACTGTGTGGGGAGGGCTAAAGGAAGATAAGAATTATTCTAACAAGGTCTGTTTGTATAGCATTCTCTTGGTTTCAACTTCTCGTCCTTGATAAGAACATTACTTTCTGGTAGAGGGAGGAGAAGATCTCATATAGGAATTTCATCTCCTGCTTTTAAGAAACGGAAGGCCAGAGTGTTTTTCTTGTATTTGCTGTTTTTCCAGTCCCCCTTGAAATAGACAATCTGGCAAAGCAGCATACCCTGGGGCAACATGCCCTGAACTGCTTCCTTAGCGCTCTTGGCATTTCTGGGAGAAGGTATTCTCTCAAAGGCGAGAAAAGAGACCGGTTAGCACCGAACACAAGGCATGCAGGAACTGCAAGGGGTAGAATTCAGGCCTTTTAAATCTCAGTCCTGTGCCTTTTCTGTTGTACCAGTCATAACAGCACAGTTTTCTCTTTGTGTCTGGACAATAAGAGTGGGCCCCCAAAACATGAAAGAGATTTGGTTTTAGAATTGGAAAGAACACAGAATTCTGCAGGATTTTGTACTCTGTAGCCTTTACCACTGGCATCTCAGAGGAGACTGGGCTAAGCGAGCAACGGCAGGAAAGGCCTGAGTTCCAGGGAGTGAGAACTGGCCCCATGTATCCCCCTGGGTCAGTGGTCTTCCTTCAAATACAGTAAGTCCCCGACTTACGAGTTCCGTTCAGGGAGAACGTTTGTAAATCCCACAAAGTGAGTCTTATACACCTTTGACGCTTTCTAGCAGTCCCCTCCATGTCAGCACTGTTTTTCCTCTTCCTTCCGGACATCCTGGGCTCAGATTGAACACTACTACTGTACAATATCACACTGTACAGTAAGCACACAGCAGCACAACTGTGACAATGTCCGGCAGACACATGAGCTGCTTCCGCGATTAGTTCACATCTACGAATGTTCCTAATGCGAGGTCCGCTCGGATCTGAAAGTTCGCAACTCGAATGTTCATAAGTCGGGGACTTACTGTATATATGCAGGACGCACAGAACCAAGGGCTCCAACCTTGAGAGATGCTCTTGATAGAAACCATCCCAGATTCCCATGATGGGCACTGGGCACCACTTAGATTTAACTAAGAAATAAGAAAGATGAGCACACTAAAAAGAAGCTGGGATGAAAAAATATGGAGAATAATCAACCAGGAGTGAAGGTGGGAGCCGGAAGGAGGGTGAAGACAGCAGGGGGTGGGTGTACAAAGACCACATTCTTCTGCTTGATGTGCAAGGATAGCAGTGAGTTGACTGCATGCTGCTTCTGAGATTTCTCAGACTTTTTGATACAGAGCTACATTGCAGGTATAGACCTCAGGCGGCATCCGAATCAGCTTCAGCATAATTCTATGTGGTGTGGATAATCACTGGGGGAACAGGAGGAGAAAGAGGGCTGGGCAGAATGGTAGTGGTACCCCTACAAACACACAGGCCTAGGAACAAGGTAGGCTCTTGGGCCGCCCCCTGGAAGCATCGCTGAAGTTTCTGTGGCTTCCAACAGGCCGCTATGCTCTGGCATCACGAAACAACCCTGCTGCAGATGCTGAGGTGTTCAGGTGACTTTGGTGATCCTTCATCTCAGATTCCTGGTCCTCACTCCTAGGTTATTCTATGGCCTTCCAAGAAGTCTTACCCCCCTCCCCCCA